TTCTTATAAAAATCGAGCCTCAAACACTGATATCATTTTTCCTTTATCTTTTATAGAAAGAGGAGTTTCTCTTTAAAAGTGTCCAATTTGGCCCACCTGTACATATTAAAAAAATGATTTTAGCCTTAGCGAAGACTATATATGTATATATATTTGGTTTAAAGTTGATGATGTTTACATTTGACTATGAGTAGAGATGATTCATATCTTGGTGGATAACCGTACCAAATTGTGTCTCGTTAGGTACAAACGGCCGCGTGCGGCTTAATAACGGCCGGGGTCTCGAATTCCGAGACCGCGATAAGTGGCGTATAGTTGACGTTGTCCGGGATGTCGTGAATAAAATTCGCATTACGTTCGCGGTCGGTCGGAGAGAACGGCGCCGTTGTTGCCAGATCTCGATTAGATCACGTGACGCGACCACAGTCCAGGTCTCCGTTTTATTTACAACAATAAGAGTCCCTAAATCACATCGCATGAGAGCGTTCTGCCCGCGGCCACCGTAAATAAAACCGGCCCGTAAACATGCCCCGTGCACGTCGAAACGCACACGCGGGGAAAACGACGAAGACTCCGCTGTGCCGCTCTACGTTTGTTGATCGAACGTCCAGAAAATGCGGTACGTCTCTTTTGACGTCTCTTTGGCGGTGTCCGCCCCCGCGCCGCGTCAAGAAAATTATTTAAGACACGGCCTGTATTCGCCGCTCTGCCCTCAAGCGAAGAGGTAACAATTGTTAGACAGGATGACTGGTGTACTCAAGAACAATACCGCCGCGGACTTCCGACGGCTAATTTTGATTTAGACATAATTGACCGACACTCGCTTCCTTCTAATTCATTTTTTATTGGATTTATCTCTTTCGGAACTATACATTTCCGTCTTTTACTTATAAAACACTTAAGATACTTAAACTACGTAATTGATGGTTCAATTATTTTATGAGAACCTAAAATTACTTATATCAAGTTATATCAAATATTTTAACGTTTATTATGTTATGAACCTTAAGATAAACTTTGTGAAATTGCTTAGAAATGCATCTAATCAGCTTTTCAACTCCACTGGAGTATCTCTTCATTGAGAGATACCATGTAATAACAGTAACATTAGGTAATAATAGGAACGAAAACGAAAATTCTCTGGTTCAGGCAGATATTTGGATGTTATATCTGGATCCCAGGTCACTCTGGGGTTGCTGGTAATGAAGCGATAGATGAGCTAGCACGAGAAGCTAGCGTTAAAGCGGTTATGGGGCCAGAGCCAAGTTGGTATATCATTTGCGATGACCAAATATAGGATTAAACTGTGGACTGAAGAGAGACTTCGCCTACTGTGGATCAATTCTCCTGGAATGAGACACGCTAAGTTATTTATTAACATTGCCACTGTCAAACCCGGAAATATTTTGGAACTTACTCGAGGCAGCATTAAAATTCTAATGGGTGTTTTTACTTGGTACTGCCAATTAATGGCACTGCTCCACTTGTTGGGAATAGCCGACGGTTGAGCATGTTTTTTGCCACTGCCCTGCTATTAATCATATCAGATTCTCGATCATTGAAATTTGATAATGTTATGTAATCTATGTAATATAATGTAGACGAATACGTAAAAGGTTATTGATTACAAAAAAAGATCCAAATGGGCAAGTGGTAATAGATTTAGTGAAGATTTATAATATTAAGAGAAGCGTTTAAATTTAAACTTTAATTTGAGTAACAAAAGTAATCTTGGAATTCAAGAATATCTACATCTGGAGGAATCGTAAATTGAAACTGACCAGAACGATTCTTTTTAACCCGTTTTACGAGTCGGTTTGAAAATTTACGCGCGGCAGCGCCCCCGGCAAACGCACTGGCAAACCGCGCGCTTGGGCCGTCGGTCGCATTCCTGCGGCTCAATAAAACTCCATCGTCGTTTCCTTCCATTCTGTCCACCTCCGGCGGTGGCGGCCGCCAGATTGAATTACAACGCGAACGGCGCTTTATTCGCCACGGTTTCCATTTAACGGGTGAACGAGGGTGAAGGGAATGACAGACGTGTTTTAGTTATTTCTTTTTTTCTCAACCATCAGGTAGCTCACGTCCTCTCCAGTAGCCGGCGCCGGATGATTGAGCTTCACGATCATCGACTCTGATTGTAACTTATCGCCGTCGAGCGATTCACTATAGATCAAAGTCGGGCGGCATGTTAGTAGCTTTTGAGCACGCGTGCGCCCACCTACGATAACGCATGCGCAATACAATCAATCACAAGAATTTTTTGCCATTTCAAATCTATTCAGTATTAATCCTAAGAAAACGATTTTTTTTGTTAACGGACGTTGCGTGAGCGTTTTGTTACGTCGGATTTTATCGGGAAGCCGATCCTCCTTGGCTGGTTGTCACGTTGCCCCCCAATTACCAGCCAAGACGTAACTTAGCGCCATCTCTTATCTCGGCGTTGCGAGATGGCTATCGGACTCGCGCGGCTCGCTTAATTGCCCTAATGAAGAAACGCGAAAGGGCGCTCCGAGACCCTCTTCTATCAGCAAATCTCTTAGCTCTCTCAAATTAATTAATTGCCCCGACAACTTAAATTTCCTTTAAACAAATCAAAAAGCGAAATTTTTTGGTCAAGATAAATTACGAGTGAAATAAAATGATTAAACGGTCGTATTATGTTGTTAGTGTTCTTTATCGGATGAACGGAGGCCCGGGGCATTCCCGAAAAAAATTTACATGCGGTCCACAATGGATGCTCGTAAATAACGCCCCGCCTCGGCGGTTTTTATTGCGCCCGAATTTATATTCAATTACCGAAAACGGAGTCGTACGGTGGCGCGGGCTCCGCCCCAGGAGTTTGTTTATGTAATCGCCCCACGTGACGCCCGTCTCAAATTTATCGACAATAAATTAAAACGACAACTTTTCATGGTGGACAATCGCCTAGACCCTAGACAAACCATAATAGAATAATTTAATTTATTCTATAATGATATAAATTTCCCTTTATAACGGAATTATTTTTTGATTTTATTTCCAAGATATACTATGTATAATACAAAGTACAAACCAATTTCTATCGCACCCAAACGCAATTTACATATTTCCCATTAAGATCGCGGATTTATATTGACAGTGAACCAGACTGCAACGCGATAACTTCACTCCATTACCAAGACTATTCAGTTCTTCCTTATCCCGTTACCAGAGGGTATAGGCAAAAAGTGAAAAAAAATGTTTGAAGCGTCCCGTCTCTTTCAGAGATCCTCTTTCACGAGTAATATTCAATTATAGAGATTTCATTTCAGATGTTCTTGTGCAGGAAAGGTATGGAGAGTTCGATGAAAGATATAGACGGGAACGCGACGAAATCCTGCTTCGTCGAGAGTCGATTGCGTGCGGCGTACCACCTTTAATAAACATAAAACACCGGCTGTAATGAGAGAGGCATAGAGCACGTGAACGGATGTGGTCTACTTGCTGCAGGCGCCAGCAGACGAACAACAAGACGAAGAGGCGTTGTTTCGAGAGACGAAGAAAGAGTACTCCCCCGCTTCAAGATCTGTGTAGTTCGGACTGCTATTCTTCTTCTTGAAGGGAATGGACTGGGCGCACCTTCGACCTGACTCAACCCCGGCTAAGAGCAACTCTCGCTTTGTTACCGAGAGCTATACACAAAGTTTCGATTTATTAAGTATAAAAACAATCTCGGATATTTTTTCACTTAAACTTGATTTCATCTGGATGAATTACCATATTAAAATTAGTCGCCGCAGCAATCTCTCAACACGTCCAAATACGGAGATAGCAGGAAAACACACCATACATAATCCAGCCATTAATTGAATTAATATGCGACTCGAACGCTCGCAGTTCGTTAGAAGGCACTATCGGTTGCATAACGATGTCGCCTGGGGCTGCCGAAGACAGATGGCACTTCCCTCTTTTACAAGGCAACAAAAAAAACATTCACAATTATCGAGCAATTACTGTGAAGATTTAATTGGCTCGACACCACTTAACCTCTCTATACCATCGGATCGCGATGACCTAACCTCTAATAGAAGCGCTAACCCTGTGATGGCAACGTCGTCGTTGGCGACGAAGGCAAAAAAGACAAAGTTAATAATAGCCGACGGTACAATCGATGGTCGGCCACGCCCACTATTGTTTTAGGACCGCTGTTGATTGTCTTCAGGTCCGCGCGCCGTTGAATAATTGCAGAGGGCTATCTGGGGCCGCATCTATCGGAGATTTATCTGCTTGGTCCCGGCATCAACGGCCCCATCCGATGGATTCAAAAACAACCCGGCCATTGTGTTCACGTCGACATCTCGAGCCCTAACAACTTTTTCAGTCTCTACACCGTTTTTAAATTTCGTACAAATTTACTTTAAACTTATTTATTTTAGGAAAAAAGGTTAACATTATAAATTAATTGTCGAAACGTACCGAATAAATACGATAATAAAAGCAAGTTATTGCCCTGACTGGGCAGCAGAAACAATACAAACAAGAGGACTTGGCGTTAATTAATTATTTCTGCCGTCGTTGGCGCTGTGGGGCGACTCGATTTAAAAGCTCGAAGCTTTATTACGATCTGGAGAGCATTAATTAGCGATCCCGGTCTAAACGCATGTGGGAATTGGGTTTCCGTGTAGGGCTTTCTGCTTGATTTTAGTGTTCTTCGCGAGATCTTTGACCCCGCCACAGGCGTTTCCAACTCGATTACGAGCGAATTCACACCTTTTGCGACTCGTTTGCCGGACGGATTTATTGTTTATTGTCGGCTGCCGCGCACAATCGCTGATAATTCAAGCGGCCCGCGCCATCTGGCGGCCGACACGCTCGGTCCAATTTGTACGGCCCATTCATTTGTACACTGTAGATCATGTCGCATCGGGCCCTGATTGGCTCCTAATTTATCCATCCGCGGCCGCCGGTCATAAATTTCAATTATGATAGCCGCGGAGATCTATAAATAAGCCCGGAAAAACGAGTTTAGGTCGCGCATTTTAATAAACCAGAAACCAGCGCACCAAAAAGACACCAAAGAAACTACTCCACAACAAGAACCAACTAGTCACAACCGTCGGAGATCCTTCCACTTCATGTTCGCCGTATGGCGGTACTTTTCCAACACATAAACTTGTAAAATTATGATGTGTCTCAAAACAATCCCGAGCCGGAGTACCTAAAGTGTATATTCTACTTTGATTGCGGTTTCCATTAGGTCCGTAATTACAAAGAATATTACAAGCATTGGTACTAGTTGCTCTATCAAAATAGTTCGTTAAAGCACATCCAACACTAATCGTTCTACCCCAAATCATTTGTGTAAATCGTCCGACCATTTCCGTATCACAATTAAATGTTATGATGGCACTTCTTCCTTGTGTCATCAAATCGATTTCATTATACCACATTTCTACCGTATCTTCTAATGTTGAACTGTCACAATCGTTTCCATCAAACCACACAAATTGATTTTGGCCGGAACTTTCAAACTTTGGCGTTCGCCTACAAACATCAGGTTCATCATTACATTTATGACTATAACACCAAGCCAAATATTCGAGATCTGTATCATATTCCAGCATCATCATATCAGTTGCACCAACATTACCAAGTCTCGTTTCCTCACCTGAAGCGATACCTTCCCTGTATTTATTGTGCAAATCCACAACAATATTCATCAAAGTTTCATTCGAACTTAATTTTGTTACTATAGGCGAACCTCCACATCTTTTTTCATTCTCAGCAGGACACTGACAGGCAGTGTTTGGAAACACACGGCTACGCACCTGGCATTGCAACTCTTTTTTGCAATAATCTACATGTGATGCGTTAAAACTTTGAAGTAAACTATGATGTAGATTTAAGATCAAAACGTAAAAAAATAAATTTTGATACAGTGTTTTGACAGTTATAATGCATGACATTGTCAAGTTTGAAGTTGAAAACAAACAAATTAATTAACACTTTTGAGTTAAGTTTAATATATAATTAAGATAATTCCAAAGAAAAGAAAACGTTGTAATTTAATAATCGTTGCTCCCGCCTCATGATTCCCTGATATGGGTAAATCCCCAATACATAAACTGCTATATTCGGGATGAGTTTGTTTGCAATCACGTGCGGATCTACCCAAGGTGTATACCCTGCTTCCTTGCCAATTTCCTGCTGGTCCATAATTGCAAAAGATGTTACACGTAATCGTCCGGGTTCTAGCGTGCAAGTACTTAGAGAAAGCGCATCCAACATGAGTAGTACTTGCCCAAACAAGTTGTGTCCAATGTCCAACGCCGTGTAAGTCGCAATCAAAGTTTTTAATACATTTTCTACCTCTTTTGTTTATGCTGATTTCTTCGTACCATTTATCCACGGCGTCTTCCATCGTCGATTCATCGCAAGGTTGATTATCGAACCACATATATTGATTTTGGCCGGCAGTATCAAACTCTGGAGTAATCCTGCATTGGTCATGATCATCAAGACAATTATGACTCCAACACCAAGCAGTATATTCAAGGCCTAGATCATATTCTAGAGCCATCATATCGGTTGCGCCAATATTACCACCTCTTCTATCATCCCCCGATGCTAATTTATCTCTATAAATATTATGTAATTTTACCATATATATAGGATGCTTGGGATTCTCACTGAATTTTATCATCCTATAATCACTCCCACATCTATTTTTATCCAACTTAGGACAATCGCAAGATGAATTGGGGAACTCTTCACTACCAAATTTACAGTTGAGGTTACAAAAATTCACCTTAGAATAATCTTTCGCAGCTAATACCTTACCATTCTTGTTAATTAAAACATACACCATGAAAATTGCTTTAATTATTTTTGACATTTTTATTTTAGACACCTTAGTTACAAACATAACAACAGGATTCAAATTTATTCGATATTTTCGAATTTGGATTCGACCACCATGGTTGTTGTATATTGATAAAAACGTGCATTTCAAAGTGGAATACCTCATTTAGCACATTCTATACGGCCCTAACGTCGACGTCCGCACGAAAACGGTTCCCGGAGACCAGAAAACAGCCAATTACCATTCATATACTGTTATATACGTCCTCCATTACCATTTAATATCCAATAATCTCGAAGTGAGCCCGTCGCCGGAATAAATAAATATTAAGTAGCGATTAATAACCGTTCGAAATTATCGAACCGGGTCGTGAAATAAAAAAACAATAAATAAATAAAAAATAAATAAAAAACGGGTGGTGAATGAAGTTTGAATTCTATTGTAAAAATAGATATTTATAATATAATATTTACTCATCGTGGAAGAATTCGATGAATATTAATTGAAGGGACTTAAAGGCGCGCAACTCGTAATAGGAATTTATCGACTTGTTTATAAATTCGTTTTGGGTGTGCGTAACAATAATGGCGATCGGCGTCCAGGGAATACCACGGCATAATAGACAATAAATTCCGTACCCATAAAATCCGGTCTTACCGCGTCTATACACAGAGAGATGGTTATTCTATGCTAAACCGGAATAAGGCACCAGCGCGAGAATAAAATACTAAAGTTACGACGTTACCCCCATGTTTACGCGGACCACGATTGTTCACACCTTCCATACTCACCTTATGGTCACTCTCACCATAACTTTATTTTTATTCCTTCTTAAAACCGCAATCACTTGAAATTGTACTACTCTATTGGAAAAAAGGCAACATCACGTCGACGGATTTAATCGAGCAAATTGGCGTCAATCAGCATTCTTCAATCTTAGTAGTGGATCAACTGGTGCTCCGGGTCGCAAATTTTCTCGTTACAGTCGGCGCGCTATAGTCACAAAAAGAGCTGCCCACGCGCCAAGCTAAACGGACACGAGCTGCTCCGTCAAATTATCTCATGCTCTCCGGCGGCAATTCTGATTTGTGTAACGAGATAAACATTTTATAAGGTGACCGCACGCATCCCGTTGTTGACGGCGATCATTGTGATTTATGGCGCCGGGCTTCCTGCTAATTTCCGAACGAAATCATCCATTTTTGTATTATCAGAACTACTTTGCCATTTTTTATTAAAAATTCAACTGTAACATTAAATTAAATCATAATTTATGCTAATTTTGAGTAATAAATGTTCGCAATAGCGAAGCAATTTTGTACCTAACATACCAAAAAACTTTACTGATTTAATAAGTAACTAACTGATAACTAGATATTACTGTAATATAGGGGCAGATATCAATCTCAAGATATACCTCAGAATGTAAGGTACGACATGAAGTATGTTAATAAGGTAATAAACACTTAATTTAAGGTAGATTAATTTAAGTTGTTAGAGAGAGAGAAACCTAGGTCCCTTGCAGCTGAGCTGCTTCAAACGTTAGTGTCAAAGGTTTTGTTTCTTTTCTTCAATAGCATCACCGTACCAGTATCTAGGTTTAGATCTCAACATTATCTCAGTAAGACTAACTTAGATCTTTTATTCCTATTAAAGCAATATACTATATGAATTCCAGACTTTTAAAGTACACCTCACGTTTTCCGGGTAGACACTAGAATTGAAGGATTGGCCATCTTCCGTAATATACGAAACTTACTGGGTGACGGAGAGTTTGGTATCATTCAAACAGGATGTTTTCAAATTCTCTCTTATTAAGGTGAAATAATAAGATTCCGTGGTCATAGATTACAGTCATAGACTACAACCAACTTAATCTTATAAAACCAAAGATCCAGCCCAATCCAAAACATTTCTGATATGGTAGACAAGTTACGGAGCCAAACACCATGAATAGTGCACTCATCATCCGGACTTTAGAATCATCCAAAGGTGATTTAAGGTCGTTCTCAGGTTACCTGACTGCCCATACGTCCCTACACTACCATCTCTTCAACATTGGACAAGTTGAGGATCAAACATGTGGACTTTGCAACGACAAGAGGTCGCCTAAGACACAAAATTTTCGGAATGATTTGCCTTATACCTACTGACGTAAAGAAAGAAGACTTTGGAGCAATAGTAAGGTTCATCAGATCATTCAAAATTTAAATTCATGTCAAACAAAATAGAACAGCATTATCCTAGCATTATTCAGAAAACATTCCATTATGCCTATCTTTAGTGTATCGAAAGTCTGATGCATATAAGGAGCGAAATTAGCATTCAAAATTATTTAACACAATTTCTTATAATATTAACCGAACAGTAGAATTAAATTCTTAGTATTTAAATGAAATTATCAATATATTTCAATTTTCGTTTAAAAATTGATTATAAACAAGCAAAATGATTAAGATATTCCATTTATCCGTCTCGTAAATTCCCAATAAAAGCTCTTGGTGCGGAATCTTAATTAAATCCCATTTGTCGCAGCGTGAACTCAGCATCGATTCGCAAACACACGCATATCAACACGTGTGCGAATTCATGCGACCAAACCCCAACCAAATAAGCGTAAAGTTTATTGCTAGCGGTATATTATGAGTACCGCTGGATGCCGTATTAGCTCGTGTTTTGATCGCTCTTACACATAATCCTTTAATTAGTCTCTGATTAATTTACAGGTGTGAAGAGAACAGCGGGACGCCAACGAAGACTGAGAGAGAAGTACGTTATATGGACGACGACGATTCCGCGTCCTTTGACCTTGAGGAGGAAAGACGTGTGCGTATAAGTATTTACACGGTTCATAAAATTTTCTATAGAAATTTAAGTTGAAATAACTTAGAAATTGTATAACGCATATATTTTTAACGTTAACATGACGTAATGGTTGTGATTTTTAATTACAACTACAATTACGCGTTAATTAACACAAAAGATTTCCGATTCATTTCACTTTGTTGGTAATAAAGTTTGATGAAAAAAGAAGAAGCCAAGTTACGGTGCGTAATATTCAATCGAAACAATAAGAGGTTTTTATTTCGAATCGTTTATGTATTGTTCTGTGTACTTGACGCGTGGATTTATTCTATAAAATTAAACGCGACTAATTGACAATGCCGAACGAGATGGTTAGATTTGATGCGGTCATGTTTTATGATCCGAAAATCTTTCGGTCGGATTTTAAAATCTATTAAATCAGATTTAGCCTCGACTGCCTTAGAAAGCTATGAGTTATGACCATAAGTGGTTTAGCATAACCGAAGGAACGACGCGAGACTGGTTGTTTTGAGTGAAAATTTATCAAAAAAACCTAAAGCTCATAATCCCGAAACGGAGATTTTAAGCGAGGAGGAATCAATTTAACGATTTTAATGTTTATATTTGCACGACAAACCGCCCACAATTTGCGTTTGTGGTTTTCATCCCACAAGAATCACCTTAAATGCGTTAAGGTCGATCAACTTTGCGCGTTTTTACCAACTTTATATTCGGATTACGTAATAGTCGATAAATTTAACGGCCCAAACAATGCGTCAAAATTTACCCTGAAGATCGTCGAGTAAAAGCAGTAAAAAGCCGCGGGCGTCCCTTCGGATAGTAGCAGCTGTCTTTTCCAATATTTAATATACGCCGTATGTAAATGTAACACCACAATGGCCAGGGCATACTAAGGCCTATTAAGGCATAAAAGCTGCGCCTGAACGGGTATTGTTTGCGCCGAGTCGGCCGGCCATAAATTAGCCCATTTTTCCGATCCGAAGCCCGAACGGGGTCTCTCGGAAAAATAAACCAGAACCGCTAAAAGCGAGGGGCCTTTATAAGATCAAACTCGCATACCAGAGCTCTTGGCGTACAGGGACACAATATGGTAATAATGTACAGGGCAACACCGCCTCGTTCAGATGATTATCTCTACCATCGGGTATTATACCATAACAGGACCAGGGCGCGATTGTTTTTCAGCCTTTAATTGCTCTGCCCCGTTCGTGATTCGAGATTCTCTTTCAATTTTACTAAAACGGCGAGAAAACCATTTAGAAGGACTTCGCAAACAAACTTACTTAGTTCAAAAAATGTGTCTCTAAAGAATGAAGACTTTCTATAAAACCAATATTACTTGTCCTTTTAGTTATTTCACATCCATTAATTGATGAAGCATTGCCTATCGCGCCCAGTTTCTAAGATAATCGCATGCGAACGTTATGTAAAACGAGTAATTTCACGCATAAGTTTAAAACGAGATTCCTTTGGCTTGAAACTAGCGGATGCTAAGCCAGTTTTTCGACAACATCCAAATAAGTCTTGCATAGAATTTAGTTTTATCCTAGGTGTGTGCTAATGGAATACACTTTTCTCAGATAGAAACCCATCGCGAAAAATTACTATTCATCCTATCTTTTTATGTATTTATGTATACGTTACGTGAGTATTTTACATCGTTTTATATAAATGTTTAGAACGTTAGCAAGTAATTGTTTTTGATTCGATCTTTCTTTTATTTGTATTTATATGAAACTTGCTAAATGTTAAATTAACAACCTCCGTTGTAACCGACAATTTGTATCAGTATGCAACAACGAGGGAATGGCTGCGGGATACCGAACACTGAATTGCAGATAATTAAGATAAACGCTACTCGAGAGTCGAACCTCGAGTAATAATGAGCATTACATGTAACGTGTCTTGCGTCATTTAATAAGATTGAGTGATGAAAATAACAGTTGTACACTATTTTAAAATAATATGTTTATACGGATTATTTAATATCCCTTTTGCTCTTAAAGAGTTTAATAACAAGTTTATAACTCTTTCAATTGTAATTAATTACTGTATGATGATGGAATACACCTCTATTATGAAAAAGGCCAACACAGATTAATGTTTTGACTGAACATGAAATTTGTTATCTTTATTTCCAATATACATCAGATCACCTCGGCGACTTCATGTATGTTGTATCATAAGAATCATAAGAAGACAGGTCGAAAAGTATTTGTCACCTGATGTATGATAATCACAAAAGAAATTAGGTTTAAATGGTTTATTACAGAGTTATGAATTGTTCTAATTGCTTCTATGACATATTCCACGGTTTATTAAAATGAACCGCTATTATACTGCACCTAACAAATACATACTGGATTCATTTATTAGATACTGGAGTCGTCCACTAATGTTGAAGACATCTCCTGGGTACTCAGATACAAACACTGGAATCATCCATTAGATTCTGAAAACAACTACACTGGAATTAAGCACTAGATTTCGGTCCTAATTGCTATGAAAATTGTATCCAACTTCTGGATACTACAACAAATCAGTATAAATAGATCATTCATCAACCCAACACTGGAATCATCCACTGGTTACTGAAATCTGCTACTAAATACTGGAATCATCCATTACGATGTTTTTTTTTCATCTATTTATCTCTAATATCTCTAAATGTATCCATTCCCAATACCATTCCGCCTTGCGCAGCCCTTCCTCCGTAATATTTTAATATCATTTCTTTCCTCTTTGAATATCACCCCTTACATTTCTCAACCTTGTCCCCGACCTCACTCAGCAAAGTTTATAAAAGCATTCAATAACATTCCTAGCCATTCTCAACATAGTCCATCACATCAGTTCACAACCCAACACGAATATTATATTTCTCAATATCATTACTAATTTGTGCATGCTCTAGCTTCGATGCGAGATGATTTAACATCCTATTTAAGAAGATGCGAAGAAACATTTTACACTCATCGTGTCTGTAGTCGAAGTGTAAACCATGAATCCCGTCAGAATTATGTTGATTCTGCAAAATGGCATCGTTTTTGGGTTTTTGAAGTCCCAAATTCCAATAAAAATTATCCCATGCAATAATGAATCATGTTAATAGCCAGTTTCTTCAAAAATATCTCTTAGTCCTATCATTTTAGAAACTTAATATCCATGTTTACGGAACACGTTTACTTCTTTTTACATACAACACCTGTATAAAACTTACTTTTAACATTGGTCACAAGAAAAGGATAAAAAGCCGAGATAAGCCATACATGATACGTCAACGTCTTATTGCTATGCCTATAATCCTACGACGTCCTATTGTTGTCTAAAAAAGATTTCGACCTCCTATTAAATCAAAACGCGACCATCAATCCGGCATGGCTCGGATTTAGATACCACGGTAATTTATATCCCGCGGTGTACGTTTTGATATCTCCCAACAGCCAGCCGGGGACAATCAAATATGGTAATGCCTCCCGATCGCGAACAATCGATATACGGTAGACGCGGATTGCGTCAATCAAAACCACAGATGAATATCCAAGCATGAGATAAAATCTTTACAAAGTAAATATGACGTGCGCTGCTACTGTGACAGTAACTTCGTTTCATTCCTTTTCAATTTGGATTTTTGAAACTCATTTCTTACCTTAATAAAGACGAGTGTTTTGATGCATTGTTCTAATTTGTTGTTTCTCTTTCAAATTACTTGTTCTTCTTATTTTCGTTTGTTGTTATCGTTGTGTAGCGGTTGAAATTCGAGGGAAGAGATGGATCCCGTTGATACGGAGCCCCGCGGCGCAATTTGCCGGGGCCGGGGCTACCTAAAAATGCACGACGTGCACCGACGACGACCACCACAGTCCAAGAGATGCTGGGACTCTGCGATTCAGTTCGTGTCCGGTGTGGAAAGAGGCTGCTGCAGATGCTGCGGGACCTCTCTTCTCGGGCTTTAGTGGTTCTCGTTACGCTGTAAAACCGAACGGAAGAAAACCAAATCGAGATGACCCAAGGAAAAACCCAACCAAAGGAGAAATGAGAGAATATTTCCGATTTGATTTAAACCAAGAGGTAATCTTATTTGAAATCTCTTCGCAAAATGACTACTTTAAGAGTACTTAAATAAGTATCGTTGAAGATTTTTTGATTCTCCTCGCCTTGTCTAGCATTGAAAGTCTGATTCATAAAAATATATCAAATAGATGATCTTTTACAAATTAAAATTCTTTTTGGTTTCGGTTAAGCTCTATATTTATTCTCTTCGGACGACACGTCTTTTGACAGATGCGTCCTTTTTCGGTTGATTTACTCCGTTCGTGAAGCAATAACTTATCCTCCCGCTAATTGGTGGCGCGGGGCGACGTGGTGAGGTCAGAACGATCCTGAACGCGGTTTAATGGAGACGCGTTCCTGCACGACGCCCACGCGGCCTCGCGGACACGTGTTCGACGCCCGACGACTTTCCGAGGCGCCATGAAGTGTTTTGTCGAATTTCTTCATATGTACAAATAATGTACATAAACAAATAGAACTTAAAATTTATTATTATTAATACAGCGAATTAAGAAAAAATGTGGTAATTATTTAATTTGGTGTTTTAGTTCTACATTTTAAACATCTCATTCTTGTATATTCATTGCGTTCGTCACTAACAGGATAATTAACGCTTGCTGTCAGTGAAAGACTAATGATACCATCGCGTCCAAATATCAGCCAATTAAGCCGTTGCCGGTGTGTCCTAATGGTTTTGGTAAACGGATGGGAGGGCGACCGATCTGTCCGTCACCGTCTGCCCATATTCGGAGGGTCATCTTTCTGGACGACTGGTGCTACTTACTATACTAAATGACGGGTCGGCGGGAGGCCACGATTAGCGCCGAATTTCTTAGCACATTATGCAAATCCGAGAAAGAGATGAGGTCCCTCTAAATCAACGTGCCGAGAAAAAGCTTATCGCGGTTAATTAACGTGGAGCCGTCATAGATATGCCGCCGTCGCCGTTGCCGTTGGTATAGTATAGATCGCTATCGCGGACGCGCTTAATCGATTAACAATAAAGCTCCCAAGACGTCGCAAACCACGGAGTTTCTAATTGGCGTCTCGTAAACCTACATTTCGTGATGCGGCAATTACCTAATAAGGTCGGTTAAGTCTACTCCGGGAAAAGACATTATCAGTAAATCGGAGTCCGTTTTACATCTCGTTGGGAAATTAATCCAATTTGCGTGCAAACTGAAACCACGACTTTTAAAAATCTTAAACCATCTGGTGTCTTTAAGTAACAAATAGGTACTTCATTCATTTAGGTATAAATTAAATATAAAATACTTGAAAGTTTTTCTTTCTTCGTTTGGACTGTTTGGAGTTTCTCTCAAGGACGATGAGAAGGACCGTAGTCGTCGTCCGGTTCGGGCACGGCTTAATTAAAAATAACTCACTCCGGGTCCGGGGGCTTATCACCGTTTCTTCGGACCGAACGAAACAATGGCGTTCGTTTCGAATGGGGCTGCTTTATTGTCATCGCGGGTCCGAGTGCTATAAGTGTCAGCCGAGAGATAAGTCAATTAGGCGGCAGCCGTTTTGTTTTGCGCCTCGCGTCCGCCTCAATTGATTGCGCTTCTCGGTAATCGTATGCGAGGAGCCGGTTTTACTCTCGGACAACCAGCAGCACCACCAACGGCAGCGCAAACGGCCGCAAATTTTCCTGTTTATTTGGCGTTTTTATTAGCGGGGGCAGCAACATCACAAAGCTTACCTTTATCATCTTTTATTGACATTATAATGTAGTGTCTTTACAAAAATATACGAGATGAAGTTTATTCCAGAATTAAGTTGTTACTAATATTAGATACCACCAAGGAGTGGTCTAACCAATTTTGACTTACAACCCAGACGATTTGATCATATTGGATTTTAGGTTGAGTTCGAAATAAGTTAACAACCCATATTTCAAAGGAAAACAATCCTTGGTTGTCTTGCCACATTACAAGTTAGCACACCGATTCGGAGTTAAAATAAACTTCGAAGTACTAAACTATCAATGCTCTAGAAACATAATATCTGAATCTTTATAATGATTATAAAGGTGTCACTTTGTATGAAGAAAATTGGATGCTTTCAAAATTTTGTATAATCATTTCTAAAAAATGGTATAATTTAGATATTTATAGAGTAAAGTATGGACTTTTTGATGAACCAAATCGTATTTGCAAATCTCTATTAGTTTTTGAGATAATAATTATTAAACCCAATCTGAATTCTTACAACTTTATCCATTTAAAATTTATACAATCCTTTTGAAAAATTTGTGTAAAATTGAATTCTTGAGATATTTTGATGAATTTTTCAAGAACCAAACCTTACTTAAAAATCTCTATTCGTTTTTGAGATAATAATTATTGAACTCAACCTGAATTCTAAGGAAAATGCAAAATCCAAAATTGTGGGGTTATTTCTGGGATCTAAGAAATAAGTTTTATGTTAAAGTAAAGGTCAATCTTTCTAGTTTAAGGTAGCATATAATCTAAAAAAAAAATTATCGTGTGTTTATTTATAAGATCTCCTTAATTTTGATGAGCTATCTTATACAGGAGCTACGAATGTCTTCTTTAAGAAATGGTTTGACTTACTATCTTTGCATCAGGCTGCGAGCAGTTATATCTTGAGCTGTCAAGATATCTTAACAATATCGTGACTTTCAACTTCTTAAACAATCTTGCCTTATACATCAGATAAAAGATTTTGTACTGAGTGTATAATTTACGTGAAATTTGCGCGAAACTTATTATAATTAAGGATCTAGTAGATGTAAAAATTAATTATGATCGACAGTTGAGAATAAAATGGGAGTGTATCAACCTCCTTCGATTCCTTCCGTTCTCATTTTAAAACCACGTGCCAAGACATAACATGATCCGCTGTTCAGCATACAATAGTAACAGAGACACCTCCGCGTACGTATGTATGGACACGTGCACTTGTATTGTGTACCATTATGCGTAGATACAAGAAAAAAAAACTCATTTCACACTCGACGTCCACAAACACCCAATTCAACACACCGTTGCAAGATGTTGCGTACCAACTGACGATTTCACATGTAGTAATTGATTAAAGTCAATACGTGCGCGTCCATTACGAACAACGTCCTTACAAATTCAAAATAATAGTTTCCGATAACCAAATCAATCAACTGACAACTTAAGAATAATTAATTTGTTTTCAGATTGAGTATGACGACACTGCACAAGAATCCTCTGACGTACAAACCGAAGAAACCAGCTTCGCAACCCCTTGAGAATTACTATTTGTTGAGCGTGAGTATTTTTGCAAAAAAAAAATAAATGAATAAATAATCAAGTCGAAAAAAAGAACAATATAATACGAGTTATTTATAAACACCGAGGCCTAACACGGTTTTTAACGCGCAATCTCTCTTCCCGGAACTTTATTTCCATAACTGATAGAGTATCGCGCCCTTCCAGTACGTATGTTTCTCTCGTTCGTTGTATCGTTCTTCGTCTGGTACTCAATTTATCTGGAACGTCGATCTCTTTCTCTCGCGCTGAGCTCGTATTTTTTATTTTTCGACCGTTTGCCGACGTGGCGGGCGAATTGCAGCCGATAGCGATCTGAAATGAATGACTGGTCATAATTTGTAATGGAGATGATAAAGGCACAATCTCTTTGGACCGGCTGCTGTGCTACGCTATCGTTCGTTCTGTGTGTTTGTTGAGAAAACGACCGCAGCTTTAGGACAACGTGTGATAACTTTGAACGCGATGGAATGTTAAAAAATTATTACTTACACTTATATAAATAATATTTTAATAGTCCATAAATGTCATAAACATGCAATTACTTCTCGAAGATTATTTTGAAACTGGTCCAAAACGACACGAATTATTAAATAGTTGACAGGTGCGTTTCCACAAATCCCCAATCTCTAAAATTGTTCTCGGTTATTTTTAAAAACACAAAGCGATTTCGATTACATAAATTCAACCCGAAAATAATGAAATTTTCATAGCAACAACGATTTACGATTGACGATCGATCTTATTTACGACCATCCAATGATGTTCGCAAACATTAATTCAAAACACTCCCTTATGCAAAATCTTTCAGAATACAAACGACTGGCATAAAATTATCAATTCAACGTCGACGCGAGCGTAAAACTTTGATTAATCGAATCGTGTTAGCATACATAATTTTTTCCCAAGTGTAGGCATTTAAGGCTGGACGACGATTCGAACCAACCGCAAGTTTCTTTTTCGTTTCCAAATTGGATTTAGAACGGAGATTAGTGCAATTATCAATTTTTCGAACAAAATTTCCTCATAGACACAACCAACCATATTTGGTCGCCGGAGACAATACGATCTCTAATGGCCGTCTGAAATGATTCATTTGACATTTAGCAGCAGCAGTCTACCCACTGTATCTTTTCCTTCTGCCTTCTGGCTCACTGTTGCTCTGAGGTTTCTACTGGACCATTTTAGGATTTTTCTTCAACGGAGCGGTTACGTAACCGAAATGGTTCGAGTAATAAACGGTCTATTATCTGTGACGACACCGCAGCGTACCCAGAACGTAATAACTCAGTTTTATAGTCGTTTACCGTAAAACTAAATCAACCTTGTAGATTATCAAATTTTATTTTTTATAATAATCATCACTCATAAATAATTAAATAGAATAAACTTACATAATAATTATTGGTTACTCCAAATTTATTTCATCCATCGATTTTGAATGTACATTTTGGCAAGCACCTATAATAATCGAAACAATACGTGAGATAGGAAGATAGGAATGACCACTTAGCAGAAATCTTTGTTCGTAGATATCTTTAGAAACTAGGTAAATGAGCAACATTAAAATAATCTTATTCTTATTTTGCCCAGCACAGTTATCACTTCATATGTATAACCAGTTTTTTTCTTTTAGGAAAATTTTGATGGGAGAAAACTTTCAGCAGACAAGATGCTATTTCATTTCCACCCCTCCCAGTAATAGACTCATCCCATATGCACATCTGTATCAGACAAATGAACCCTGAAGTTAAAACAGGATCAACTGCCGATTTTAAAACATATCCGAATGAGTCAAAGTAGGAATGAATCTTCACTATCAATATTTTCTGAGTTTGCGATATCGGTATTCATTGTGGATTTTGCCTTTTCCACCTTACGACGGTGCAGTTCCAATTTTTGCGCCTGTTATTTCCTTTCTGGGTTGGTCAACGGAATAGATTTGATCTTATTTTGATAAACACTTTGAACATGTATCTGACCTAGGGCGTCCGAATTTGAGATTTGGTAAGTCTTTTTTGACCACTAGTGATTAATACTTATAAGTAACTACTGAATTTGGATTTTTTCCTTATACGCCAAAAACATGCAATTGAGATTTAAATCTGGACGCAGGAATTCTTTTATCGATGTGTGCCGGCTGTAGTGATTTTGCTTTGGATATGATCCCTAACTTGCTGCCGGATTTCTGGCAAATACTTTTTTAATTTAGTTCTTTTACCACGTTTATCTGTGTAAGTAGTTGCTCCTGATTTCTTTTTTCCCACAAGTACTGTAACTACTTGTGGCTTAGCGCAAATATATTAGAAAACGTTTTTTGCAAACCTATACATGCTCTCTACTACCCCTAGGAACCATGTAAGCAATCGTACATTGGCGATGACTTTCCTCTGGTGTATCATACCGTACCATGTCTCCTGCGACTTATGTTTATAATTTGAATCAACCCCAAAAGAAAAGTACTCTGCTTATCGTGATTTGTAGCTGCATAATATTGTTGAAATAATGGTTCTATACAGATAAGAAATGGAAAAGATAGTCATTCAAACCCAACCAGCCAAGGTTAGAAAGAGGCTATTTAAGAGATAGGGTTGGGTTAAACAACACGAAGAATCTCCCTAACATCTCGAGTATCCTGGTTTATAAAATACTCATGCCAAATGATGTTAGGGTTTAAAATGAATCAAAATCGTTTAATTCCAAAAAGCTTATGACATAACGAGTTACGAATCATAGATTGGCTCCAATCCATTATGACCACTAGTTTATTGTTTTTTCCAAAACGGTCTTAGCCCAGCTAAATAAAGAGAACGTTAATAGTAAGCGTCAACGTTAGTCAACTGTTGTTTTTATGTCCGTTTTCGTGTAAATCGATTCTACAACTCGCGATCGGTCGACTACGTGGTTATTTATAGACCGACAGCAGCGTCGTGACGCTCGCTAACGTCACGTTACGGCCCGTTTCGACACCGTCTCGCACACCAAAAATGGTCAATTTTCGAAACGTCAAAACCAAACTTTTTTTTTACTCGGAAATTAACTCCTACCATATTTAGAACTGTCGCCTTTTTCACCTTCGTTAAGGTGTTTATTTATAAGAAAAATCCTGATTGAAAATTGTTTTAATTCATTACCTAAGTCATTCAGGTGTCTTTAAAAGAACCCACGCTATTGGCCAAGTTCATTTCGGGTAACCTTCACTTTAAGGTCCTTGCGTAGGGAGAAATTTGCGCAATTTTGACGTATTAATTTGATAATAATATTGATTTTAGTAAATCGATTAGATTAGAATCTATGTCGCCAAAGAGATCGCAATTAAGTTGTGTCGACGGCTCGTCGTCGACGTTTCGCAAGCGGCGGTTTCATTCACGCCGAGGAAAGGTTAGAGGTTGCCAGTCAATGGACGAAGCGGGATTCATTCATTATCGGCGAAGGTTTTAACTTTGAAGGGAAAAATGTGTTTTAATAGATTTCGATGATTAAGTTTACTTTGGATTATTTTGTTTTGTTTGATAACAAAACAAAAATAACAATAATAGTATACAGGTGGGATGTTAAAACCCACAACATGATTTTCAGTTCACGTTTTTGAAGTTTGAACCCTTACGCAATGTTTATTTGGATCTGGTTTTTGAGTTGGGTTCAAACACACACATATATCGAGAACCACCCCCGTACGTCGACGACCGTCGAACGAGCGGACGGTTGCGGAGATATCGTTGTTGTGGGCAGTACAAGTAGTAGTAGCGTTCGGGTTTTCGAAGTACTCGCGACGTTTCGCGCTCTATTTTTAGTTGGACTCCTCGCGAAAACCTTCTCAAACTTAAATAGCCTTTACGGGAGCCGAAGGTTTCGGTGACGTCGCCGTCGGAAGGTTAGTCACCGTCGATCCTCGGCACCGGGTGACGTTTCGCGTGACGTCACGAGGGCGTTTCGGGCGAGAAGGCGGAGGCGTCGTCGTCGTCGTCGTCGTCGTTGTTGCCGCACGTTGGCGTTACCTGATGCGGGGCACCGCGTGTCCGCCGCTCATTCACATCCAGATTACCGTAAGATCGGGACGGGCGGTGCGCGTCGCCTCCTCAATCGGGACGTTATGGCACCTCGGCTGCTCGTCGGAGACGCGCGCGTTCTGCAAAATGCTCACACTGGCTATGCGGAGGGAGCACGAGGATCGGGCCGCAAGGGCTGGTGACGCTTACGGACGCCATCAGGGGGTTCATTCTGGTGGTAACGGGGTAGACGGTATTTCCGGAAATTCAGGTGTTGTCGGTGTTAGTGGTGGTGGTTTCGGATTTGGTAGTGGTGGTGCGGTGAGTGGTGACGAATTCGTAGACATCCTGCAAGTGCAACAATTATTACTCGACGGGGGTTCCCGTGGGAGATCGGGAATCGGAGGAGTTAGGGAGCCGGTGACGGCGCCGGACGCTGTTTCACCCTCCCCTGCTCCTTCCAGACTGTTGGACGCCGTCCCGGCGCCCTCCTATTATTACGGAGGATACGGCCAACACGGACCTCCGACCACCAGCGTTGATGACTTGGTAGCATTGTGGTTTGCTGGACCTTCCGCTCCAGGTTCGTTTAATTAATACATTAAAAAAATGTTGATGTTTTGATAAAAACTTACGTCCAAGATACCGTCAGAGTATGACTCAGTACAAAATACGTAAAGTACTCGTATATACAGAGGAAGCGATATCACTTTTTTTTTGTAAAGGTCGTATATCACCACGCGTTAATTCAAACATAACTAGTACAGATCGATACGCTTTTGTAAACATTGCGTACCTACGCAATATGAACCTACGTCAGGTTGTATTTGGATTTAAAAATACACTACAATTGCTAAAAGCGTTTTCCGTTTCTGAAGGATGCATCATTTAGAAATACCAAGTCTAGAAATAGAAATCGATTGAAAGCTTTTGTTGCTATTTCCGTACGGTTACCCATCAAATATTTACCGAACGTCGATATTTTCGGACCAGAAATGCTTCACTTCTAAATTTTGATTTTTTAATCTTAATTTTTTTGATAAACAAAAGAACGAAACATAAAATAAATTTATCGTCAGTAGTAAAACGGCCGGCTTCGGGCACTTCGGGCGCCGTTGTCCAGGTATTTTTATAGCGACATATTTGTTAGCGTTTGACATTTAAGACGTCGAGAGAATTTATAGAAGAGACCGTTGTACACCCGAGGTATGGAAATTCGGCGAGTTTTCGGCGTTAAATTCGACCAACAATAACAATAAAACAAGTTACCTCCACAAAACTTCAACCTTAACCATTGTTATTTAAATTTATCAGTTTTGACCTTTAAAGAATACACCGATAAAGAATTCTTTATTATTTTTCATTTAGAGATTTTTAAAGAAATAAAAAGTTTAAATCGCCATTCAACCTAAAACTAGGGGGTGGGATTTAAAATCATGAATGAATTGACGTCACGAAGAGGGGTTGTGCGCAAAACCCCCACTACTCAACTACTCCCCTTACACTACACTATCAAGGGCACCTGTGGAAAGTCAATATTACCCTTAGGAGGGGTCATCGAGTTCATTCAACAAATTTTCTCATTAAATATATAAATTAAATAATGTTTTTTAAATAATTTTCGAGTAACTAAGTACTTTAAGTTTCATAGTTGGCGCCACATCTATTTTATTTTCCACGATTTTATTACGTCTGTCGAAATCGTCGAAATGGGACGTTATTTCAGCGACGACAACGGGGTCAGTTAATTCTGGAATCACTTCGGGTATCTTTCCGATTGCGCTTTCCCCCGCTTCCGAGAGAGGGAGATCCGTCTCTTATTTTTCAACGTAACGTTATTGTTTGCCAAACCAAACAGCTGCGTTATCAAGCGTTTTCGTAGTGGTCGTCGCCTTTGATGTTGGCGAACACTTCTTATTTTAGAGACGCATAAATCGCGTCGTCGCGGACAAAAATCGCCCTCCACGTTTATTATTTTCGATATCTGATGACGACGCTTGAGGAACCGCGACGGTCCCATGTCTTCCGTCGCTGAGATATGGCCACACCGAGGCCATAAATTGCGCGAACCTAATTTACGGTCGCATTGGTTGAAAGAAAACCAAGAAGGGATACAGTCAATTTCAAAAGTCTTCGTACACTTTAGTTTAAAAAATTATTTACTAAATTATTGTGTCAAAAGTAAGTTGTGCAAAATACTAAAATTATTTTCTTCTGAATACTAGCAGTTACATTATGGAATATCAAAAAAAATCATTTCTAAATACAAAATTTTTGTTTTATGTTTTCAATTCCCTCTGAACAGTAGCAGTGCAACTCAATGCAACTCAATGCAACTCAATGCAACTCAATGCAACTCATTGCAACTCACTCCAACTCATTGCAACTCATTGCAACTCAATACAACTCTTTGCAACTCGATGCAATTCATTGCAACTGAAATATACAACAATATACAATCAATACAAATTATGGCATAAAAAAATACAATGAAATTCTAAATTATTTCTGTACAAATCTGAAGTTACATTAACACAAGAACCTCTCTAAATTCATATTTTTGCATTTCCTGGTAATTTAAGATACACTTTACTAGTAACAAATTTGTTGTGTGAAAATGAAATGATTCTTAGATGAAGATTTGCAAGCGTCGCGACGTTAAGGTCTAAGTTTAGCGTTCGATGTGCCCACGTAAAGCTACGTTTGCTAATTATAGTCGTCGGCGGAAACACCGAGTGAGTTCCTGCGGAATGGTGTCACCCCGCTATTCGGCGTCGTTATGTAACGGACCACGAGGTGTCGACGTCACGACGCGCGGCGTCGGTCGCCGGTCTGACTCAAACCGTCGGATCTCTCTGCCAGCTGATGTTCAATAAGTATTTTGGGCCATGACCCGCACGTTCTCTGTTTAAACATATGACTCTGTCCATCGCAAAAATTAAGTTGCTACAAAGTATCGTCAAAAATAAGTAATTTGATTAATTCCATCAATAAGGAGTTTTTGATGCATTTGATGATGGTTAATTAAGTCGAAATCAGTTGCAATTGGAATGAAGGTAAATATGATTATTGGTTGATTTGGGTTGGGTTAAACTATAAAGAGTGACTGGTGAGAAAGAAAGAGAGTGGGCTTGTCTTGGTATACATATACATACGCCCCTTGAGAAGTGAAAATAAAAATCAAAAACATGAACGAAAATAAAGCCCGTTTCGCACAAATCTAATTTGGCCCAAAAATTTCCATTGAAACGATTTAAAACTTATATCAAACGATAGTTAACGCCGTAACAAATCTTTTTGTTGTTTTTTTTGTTGATAAATCGTAGGGGTTGATGGTATACAGGGTGGTTTTGAGAACATGTGGGCCTAACTATAATTTACGATAGCGGTGAGCAGCGGAGACCTTCGGCGATCGAAGACGCGGTTGGCGCGAGCCGCGTCGTTACGTCACCGCGACGTCACGCGACGTCCAGGTGGGGGTTGTGGTGGGGGCGACGCGGTTTCTGATTGGTTGAACGGCGTCTCGGCGGCCAAATATGGCATAGCCGGTTCATTCATAAAGTAAAATCGACCGCGCTCGGCTCAGTCCCGTTCAGAGAGAACTCGCGGTGTCGCCGTCCAACATTACGGAACTAGCGCTAGCATCGCGACCAAAAACAAATATAGTACATATATACAAATGTGTCCTCGCGGGTGTTTAATAACAATAACATAAAAATCTTTATATAGAAGTGAATTAATTTAAAATAAGTTAATCATTTTTGGGGGTTGTTTCGTTTATTGTTGGTTGTTTCAATCTTATAACAGGCGTTCCACAAGGGACAGCCCTACAAAACACCCCGTCCACCATGACCATGGACGCATTGGACACGCTGCCAGCCCAGCACCATCACCACCATCATCATCACTCCACGTTCTTGCTGACGGAGGCGGCTGCGGCCGCCCACCACTTCAACGTGCTCAGTTTTGAACCCTGTTTGTATCGGGGAGCTGGTTCTAGCATAGAAAGCGGCGGAAGTCCCGTTCCGGCGGCCACGGGGGTGGCCCCCGAAGACCCGCAGCCGTCGGAACCACAACCAGGAGATTTAAACACCCCCGTAACCACCTCCGGGGATATCCCTACGTTCTTCGGTCCCACCACCGTCGTGGAACCACCACCCATCACAGGTGAGTGATCCCAATGAATTTTTCGAGTTTGCGCCCTTTCAACAATACGAACTTATGAATGGAACTCGCGTATACAGCTGACCAGAAAAATCGATACAAAACATTGTCTTATTTTAACATCACTTCAAAATAATATGATTCATCACTTTTAAGAATAAAACACAAACTCATATTTCCAGTTAAAAATATATTTAACAAAAAACTTAAACACGAACAATAAGATTCAATAATTTTATGACCGTATTTTATTACTTCAGTTCAATTTAATGGTTTATTAAATGAGATTTTCTTTTGATAGATTTTTTTATTCTTATCGATATAGTCAATAAAGTGAACGTCTTGGGAAAACATTAGAAATTCGCCATATCACCAAGATAAACCAGGGCGATTTATCAAAACAATCCACTTTCTAGAATATCACTTTCTAAATAGAATAAGCCTACAGCTTTAAGATTAATAGTAGTCAACATAAATCATAAATATTTCAAGTTACGTGACTTATATCGAGATGATGATAATAATAAACTGGAAGTACAAATTCATAGTTAAAACAGGTGGAGTTCAACACCTCCTCGTATAAATATAAACTTGAACACGTTACGTCATGCCACCGAAACATGTTATGTCTATACGATCGATGGCAGCTGGTCAAAAATAAGCGCCGCTCGATACAGCGGCGTCGCGTCCTTGACGTCCGCAACAAGTGGCTCCCTCTGCTGTACCGATCGATATCAACTCATTCAAGACTTCACACTATACTATTTATTTTAAATTTTTTATCACAACCCCTTTTTCTCTCCTAAATTCTAGGTTCCCTAGAAGGCGAAGAACTCTCTTTAGAGCAACAACAACAACAACAAAGTCCTAGACAGTCGCCGGCGAACAGTCAAATTGGCGAACGTGGTACACCCCAAGAACCCGCGATAAGTCCCGGCTTAAGAGAAGAGGATTGTAGCAATTCTCTCAGCATGTACCCATCAGGAGTTCCAACCAGTTCTAATAATAACAATGTTCAAAAAATGAGATCGGTTTATTCGACATCATCGAGTCCTATGTCTTCGGGGATCCAACAGCAGCTTCAAACGAACAGTCCTTTGAATGTGTCCCAATCAATGTCGCATTCGCCCCCTTGGATTTTAACGAATCCCGATAAACCTTTATACCCCATGTTTATGATGGGAAACCAAAGCCAGTCACCACAACAGTACCATTCTGCTACGCCGAGTCCAGCGGGAACCCAATACGATGATCGATCTCAAACGGAACATTTAATGTTAAACATCGAATCTAATATTACCATGAAACAACCTCCGTCTTATCCGAGTTGCACATCTGCAAGTCTACAATTGGAGATGCCGCAACAAGATTTAGTGTATTCGCGAGTTACCCAACCGTTGGTTTCGAACGCTAAATACCAATGGGACTCTGATTACCAAGGATCCAGCGGCCTAATCGTGGCGGGACCTTCAAGTTTAGTGCCAAAACAAGAACCTTCGTACAGTGGTGCGTGTTCGAGTGAGGGAGGCTCGCAATCTTACGGGGTACAATTAGCCGAATATAATCCCTCGACGAGTAAAGGACATGAAATTCTTTCGCAAGTGTACCAACAATCCCCGGTGCCCTTAAAACTCGTCCCCGTTAAACCAAGAAAATACCCAAATAGACCCAGTAAAACCCCAGTCCATGAAAGACCTTACGCGTGTCCCGTCGAAAATTGCGATCGAAGATTTTCAAGATCCGACGAATTAACCCGACACATAAGAATCCATACCGGACAAAAACCTTTTCAATGCCGAATTTGTATGAGATCATTTTCAAGGTCAGATCACCTAACAACGCACATAAGAACCCACACCGGAGAAAAACCGTTTTCCTGCGACGTTTGCGGGAGAAAATTCGCGAGAAGCGACGAAAAGAAACGACACGCCAAGGTCCATTTAAAACAACGAATGAAAAAAGAGAACAAAATGAGTTCGGCGTCTTCTTCGTCACAATCCGCTTCGCAACAAAGCCAACAACAAAGTCACCATCATCATCACATGCATCCACATCATTTACATCAACCGCACACGGTGACCAGCGAAGATCCGTTATCACTTCCGGTGGTTACGACGACACTGTGAGAATTGCCCATAGCCGAATTGGCACCCGGCGAATGTGTGCTCTTCATACGTGAAGATTGTGACTTGAATGCGGCCGATGCAGAATTGATTTATGTACGCATTGAGTAGCGTGAAAAAGTCTGATGATGGACGAAACCTGTACTCAGCTACCTGACCATGATCTCTAGAAGCCCACGTCTTGTGCGCAGCGTGCCATGTTTCTCTTCAGTTTTGGTGTAAATATATAATAGAAGAGAAGGAGTTGTTGCTGTACAGAGTGTACAGAGTATACAGAGTGAGAGTGAAAAATATGAACTGTTAATACCCTTTTTCTACTACCGTACTTCTACCGCTATTACTGTTAAATAGTAATTAGGGAGAAAAATGTTTCGAAATTTTTATACTGCTCTTTCTTTTTTTGAAAGATTAAAAAGAAATTGCCCTGTTAATAATTGTGTATTATAGTTTTATTGATAGTTTTTTCTCATTTTTTTGTTATCGTTGGGAAAGCTCAATCACGTCTTTTTTTTCACTTAAATCTCCAAATTGTTTCTTTTTTTGATTAAATTAAGGCTTAAATCATGCTCAAATTAAAATTAAAAAAAAGATGTGCTTGATCAAACCATCGACTCAATAAATAAATTTAAAAGAAAAATATTTTTTTATAACTTAACATGAAAGCTTTAATCTATTAATACTGTTTTTATTTTTTAATTTTCTGTTTTTACCCTAAAAAAAATAATTAATTAATCGAAATTTATTCGAATAATTTGGCCTAAAATTTACGCATTAAATTGAATCTTCTAACTTTATTTACTCTCTAAGAAAAATTACTAAAAAAAATGAAACACATTCCGTACCGCAACGTATAAATAAGATTTAAATCCGTGTTTGTTCTGTTAATATTTTTTTATAAACATTTGTAGAGAACCGGTCTTGTTAAAAAGAGTCAATAATTAAATTAAAAATAAATAAAAGAGAACGCAACGAGTATTTTGCGTTTACGTTTCCGGGGAGTTCGAAATCTGCCTTAAAAGAAGTGTCTTGTCCAAATCAAAAAAAAATTAAATAAAAATAAAACGGAGGAAGTTATTGGTGCAAATAGTTACCCAAAGCAAAAAAATTCTAATGTTGTTATCACTGACAAGGTATATTTTTCTACGGCAGGAAATCAGGATTAAAAAATTAAAAAGCATCATCTAGGACAATCTTGGTTGATTTATGGATAAATTAATAAAAAAATAATAGGCCTAAATTCTTGTAAATAAATGTATATACAATAAAAAAAAGATTGCAGCACAAAAAAGAAAAGAATGTTTTTCTTAAACCCACCTCAAGCACAATCGATTCTAATTCTATTTTTGTAACTTAAAAATCATTTATAAATGTTACCCATTTATCCAAAATAAAAAAAAAATGCTAGGAGGTGGTAAAAAAAAATCTGGAGACGGTAAACGACTCATGAGGCTGTTGTATCGTTGATTGTGATATATTCGAAGATATAAACGGAACTTATGTGAGAAGTTATAGAAAGAGTATTTATTTGTACATGTTCTCAGAGGCCGATTTCGCGTAATTTAAGCCTTAATTAACTGTTATTGTCACCGTAATACGAAGGAATACCGTTCGAGTCGATGTAATATATTCGTTTCTAAGTGGTTGTGCCCTTCGAAAAAAAATCTATGGAAAGTCTCAGACAAAATAAAAATGCTGATTAAATTTATTTTTTGCGTTTTCTTTTCCCCCTTTTCTACTTACTTAATTCTAATTAAATCTTATCCACACCAAAATTTTAGTTTAAAACTAAATATGAGTTGAAACCACAGCAGAAGAACTCTCACTACAGACTGAACCAAACAGTCTCGCATTCCCAAAGAATATCACCCACAAAATAACTTTTTATTGCAATCCTACGACGATATCCTACATAATATTGTAGGAGAGAAACGTTGCGCCTACGATTTTATCAACCTCCACGACTTTCAATTTATTTAAAATTTAAAACAATTTAAATTAAATGTGTCATTTGAAAATATGGGATGATTGTTATTTAAAAGAGGACCACTTAATGGTACTAAAAGTATCAACAAAGCGAAAAAGAACAACCCACGCACCCTTTCTCGTTTAGGAAAAGTATTCCAAGCTTCTATGACATCATTTCAATTTAAAAATCTAAACTTAAAAAGAAATTTTTATTATAACGTCTTTTAACAATTAATTGTTATTATCAATTTGAATAATGCTTCATACAACTTTCATTATAATGTTGATATCTTGTGGTTTTGGATACAAGGTCGAATAACCTTGTACATTATTATAAAATTAATGTCACTTAATAACACTTTCATGTCTAACTTAAAAATAAATTATGATACTTGAATCTTTTCAATCTATTAATTAAGAAGCACAAAGTAACAACTTGGAAAGGTTAAGTAATTTTCATTATAAAAATCAAACATAACTCAAAAACTATAAGCGGTGGGGAAAAATGTCTTGCAGATAAATTGTTCATAATGGACCCACAAGACTTAATCTATAACCAGATGCACCTCAGTTATAACCATATTGTAGCTAGTAAGTGGAAAACTTAAAAATAACAAAATTAGGAATATTCGTTAATAAAGTCAATCGTAACTCAGAAACCATCAGTGTTGGAGAAAAATGTCTCGGATATAAATTGTTTATAATGGACCAAAAAAACTTAATCTATAACTAGATGCACTTTATTTATAACCACATTTTAGTTAGAAAATGGAAATACTCAAAATATCAGTCAGTAATTTTTCGTTATTATAATCAATCATAATTCAAAAGGTATAAACGGTGCAGTTGGAATTTTGATGTTGATGTCATGATATTCCCACCAACACTTACACCTTGTCTTGAAAAATTGCCCAGATTTTTTCCCAATAGAAAATATAAAATATAATAATTTTGAAAAAACTAAGTACAACATGGTGAAGCAAGTAGAATATATTAAAGCATGTGGAGATGACATTGATTAGCCTGTTCCATTTATCACACTAATAGTAGATAAAAACTTAAATTCATACATTAAATTAAATAAGCTTAGTTATTAATTCGTTTGTGATTAAGTTGTTTCTTTTCGAATACAAGAGTCATCAATGTGTTTGAAATAATAAATTTGAACAAATCGTTTTATACTAAAACGGCTATTTGCGACCAGATGGTTCAACTCAAGTCCCCAGCTCCCGATTAATACGTCGCGTATCTGCACTGCGAGAAAGTCAGGCACAGGACGAGCGTGACTGCATAATATGTTTGCTCAATAGAGGGACAGTCCGATGCGGGCGCGATAAGAACGCCGTATTTGTTATTCGGCGACGGACCGTTTATCATTTTGCACCAGGCAACGAAGAAGAAGCGGTCTCCAGAAGAGCACCAACCATATATTATGGGTGTCGGTAAGAAGATATTGGGGTGGTGGTGGTCCAAGTTGCATTTCCACTTTTCGCGTCTCCGGTTTATTTATCTTGAGCAATCTTGGGACTATTTAAACAAATATCTTCGCCCACTTGACCCACTCGGACACGGCGCCACTCCATTGGGAGTGTCCGTCACCTGTTGCTCTCGAATGGGGAAGACTCTGTGGTGAAGACGTGGGAAGTAAAAGAGTTGCTTAACGAGGCGCCTCCGGCTGATTTTCAGACAAACAAGTTTAGGAAAGGAACAATTAGCCGCAAAGGGCCGAAACGCGCTTTATTTCTGGAACGAATCCCGTAAACACCGTGGAAATATCGCCGCTCGCGGACGTGCCAAAAACAAATATATCTTCGTTAATTCTCCCATTCGAATTGCGACACTTTATATTTAGCCGAACGTTCTATTTCTCTATAAATATACGACTGAAGATCGCGCTCGGAGACGTTTTTATTTGAAATCCAACAAGTTTTAAAACTGCGCAATCGAAATGTTCGATTTGAAACCCGACAAGTTTAAAATTTTAAAACTCCTCCAACGTGATCCTTAACAAGTCATTCCTTCACCTCCAAAGAAGGTACCCCTTGGTCTCTATAGTTCCAGTGAGGCCTCGCCCACAAAGACACGCATATTTCGAGTCGGACGGACGGCTCTTCAGGCCGCGGGGCTTGTTGAAGGTGCGGTTGCGAGCTCGAGATAACCAGTTCCTAATCGACGTCCAAGAGGTCGGCCGCATAATGCGACATCTATCGACCGCACGGCCCCACACACCGATTCCCTTCTTCTTCTTCTTCGCATCTGAATGCAAATCCTCGACGGCTCAGCACTCAATTAGGGGCGAAGAGGGAAGCGGTTAATTGCTACAGCGCCTTCGAAGGCGACAAAGTGGACGAAGAAAAGGATATCGAAGAGAAACTAAAGAAAAAGGGGGAGGCGAAATTGGAGGCGAGAAACTGTCGAGATGTCGTTTCGCAAGTTCGCGCTTGTCGCGCCCCAGGCTCCGAACTATGTCCGTTATAAATCATCAACGCCACGCGGCTGCGTTGTTGCACAATTCGATTCGCTGTGGATTGGAGTGCACCTATAAATCAACTCTTAACCTGGACCAATGTCCAAATGATCCAAGTAACAGACGTATGTTTTACGCCATCATTTCTGCTACCTATCATAACATACATTTCTTCTAAAACTCCATCTTTTACAATTATTACATTATTATCGCATAATGATTTAAACAGATTGAAAAAAAAATCTGTTTAAGTAATTATTAAACAGCTGCGGTATGTTACTTCAACGTCGCTTCCTCTCGAAGCAGCGGCAATGGTAAGCCACGCGAAGAAGTAGGTCAGAAACGTTTTCTGCATCAGTTGGCGTCGGAAATGTGTTGCCCTCTACCGACCGTTCTTGAGCAAATAGCTCAGCGAGCAATAACTTGTCTATAACGTGAATTATGAAAGTCGCCGTGTATCGATGAAGTCATGACGACGTTCTTCTGTGGTCGCAAAACCGCAAAAACTTCAATTTGAACGAGCCATATAGATATAAAAGTTTTAAAACAAATCCAATTTTAGCGTATTTCAATATAAAGAAGGCGAAGAGTGGGTGGCAAAGATAAGATTATTTCCCACGGAAAATTACACAATCAACAATTCATAATAAGAATTAAGACCGTTTTGTATTCCCTTTCTTTTTAATGTGGTAAATGTTCATAATAAATTTCGGATCATTAAATTCATCCTTGTACTTTTTTACATGATAATAACGAAATTAATCGTTACATGTAAGGACCAAATGACATCATTACTTATTTCTAAAAGAAATAATGTAAGAAATTGTAATCCAGAAATAGTAATCAAATTGCCTTAGAATTGAAGCCTTAGATTCTTCTGGGACTAAAACATCGAGTGTCTAGATTAAGCGAGTCATTTTGATGATTATTTTGAGTCTTTCGTAATGCAATGAGTTTACGAATCCCATGCATAAAACGTGGCGAAAAAATATGCATCAGAAAACACAAATTCTATGAAGAACAAATTTTTATCAATATCTCTGCTAGATTTTCAAGGTTATTTTACTAATTGTAGTTCGTATTAAGAAATGTTTTAAATAATATTTATTTGAAATTGGATGGATAACAATTTTTCTTAATAGAATTTTTCAAATTCTCCAGTAGATATCGCTGTATACTCGTATACAAAACAAGTTTTGCAAGGTTATGTTATTAATTATAGTTTGTATTAAAAAATGTTTTCAATAATATTTATTCCAAATTAGATGGGCAACAATTTTTCTTAATAGAATTTTTCAAAATCTCCTTCAGATAACTTTGTATACTAGTATACAAAACCAGTATATCAATAATAACACTTTATATCAAAGAATCATTTAAAGGGTGGTCGGTTGCAGAGATTACATTTTGAGATAGCTTTATCTGTTCCAAGAAGTATTTAAGGCTGTCGATTCTGTTTGGCGATTCCTCGCTAAATGTTTGATGCAACAAACACGATAAGGTTAATTCGTATTACTCAACATTTAAAAAAAGTCATTTTATTATTAAAATAGATTTATATATTAAACTTTTCGTTGTCAGATACTTATAAACGTGTATAATTATTATCATAAGGAAATTGACGTTGGGTATCAAAGAACATTCTGAAATTGACAACAAAGAAAAAAAAGGAATCAACTTTCACATTGTAAATGATTCGTAATAAATATATCAGGTTGGTTCGACGGGTTCTATTCTAAATCGGACATCGCCGTTTAATTATTCATGCGAGAGGCTGTAAGGAAAGAAATCATTTTGTCACGTTGTGGCCGCGCAGCAATTACGACTTTTTGTCTTCTTGGCCCGTGTGTTCCCGTTGGAGGCGTTCCTTTCGGATTTTTTTTAAGGCACAGCCGCGTTTCGCCGACACAATGACAAGAATTCTATTGTTGTGACAGCTGAGATTAATGTAATTTGAGTCCCGAGCACGGGTCCCGGTTAAAAATTCTCCGCGAGGACAATTAACATATGCCATCGAAACAATAGCTGGAATGCCACGCGAGGAAAAATTATCGACTCGTAAGTTTTAATAACACTCCTTCTATGATCTTTCGGCGATCATTAAAAATTACATCAAGAAAAATAAAGACTAATAGTTACAGAAAAAGAAAATAGATTTTTCTTTCAGGATGGTAACCTTTAAACTTTTTCGTTATACAAAACGCTAACCATTAATCCTGCGACTCCCTCCTCTTCTATCTGGATTGCTAAAGCTATAACCAGACGCACTGCAGTGACATTTTCCAGGAAGCCGTACTACTACCCACGCTTGTATCCTGCCGCTGCAGTAATTTCCCTCTCCACAACCACCATAAAGGGTTCCATTCATGATTTTAAACAAGAAACCGATCGAATGAACGCTGCATCGTAGAGACAGGATTATAGCCGAGCAAATGGGCGATCAAGCGCGATTTAGGGGTTGTTTTTGACCTAAATCCTAAAGTTCAAAGTTCACAGTGGGATTCTGCCTCCCTGAGACGAAACCGCATCGAATAAACCTGATTGTTTACCGAGACTCCTTCATATACGTTTGCCATATTAAACGTCGTATTTACCGTTCACACGCCCGCGTGTTTACCCAAACTATTACTGCCAGTTCTCAAAATGTTCCGGGCTCATCTTTAAACTATTAAACGTTTTTAAATTTCCATTTAAAACCTGTTAAAGACTTATGACACAAAAATTTAAATTAAATTTAAAAATTATAATGAGATTTTTATGAATGAACGGTTATTCTAAGAACTTCATTCATTCTAAAAAATTATATGTATCTTTTCCTAAAAATCTTCCATCGTTGCAGGCGTCGCGACGCTGCATGCAACAGGTAAATCGGTCGCTATGGTTACGTTTTCCGCCCTGGTCGATGAGTGCAACCCTGACTTTACACGGTCAAGGTCATTAGGATGTCTAGGATTATAAAATTAATATTGAATAAAGTATTTAATAAAAATCTAAAATACGAATTGGATTAAGAACTTTTCAAAGATATTACAATGTATTTATTAACAACGTGTGAAGTTTCTGAATGAACAACCCACGCTGTATGGCGAATAAGGTTCGCTGAAATGTCAGGAGAAACTGAATAATAATACGGCTAATTGTTGATTTCATAACGAATAGACAAAGATGGAAAGATTTGAAACAGAAAAAGAAAAAGTTTTTAAGATTTAACCTTCTGGTTTGTATTCGTCGACGGTGTCCGAGAGGTAGACGAAGATTAATACAGGTTTAATTGTTCGTAAGAAAGGTTTTAACAGCGATTTAATCGACTGCGTTCTTAAGACGGCGGATAATTAAGGAATGATCATTAAGAATTGCAATAAAAAAAAAACCAGACACAATGCAAGTTATGTTTATGGGCTCGCATGTTAATAAAAAATAAAGTTTGTTTTTTTAAATAATTCTCTTCACGGTTTCAGCTACCGAGTTACGCGCGAGGCAAAATTATCGCTGACACAAACGCGTAAACGCGACAAAAGTGAACGGTACAAAAGGCTAACTGGCCGTTAATTAATTTTATAATGAAATAAAAAAAGGCGGTTTTTTATGAGTCGATACTGTGTCAACGCTATTTCGAAAGCAGAGACAACTGGCAGGAAATCATAAACAGCTAAAGAACGCGTGTTAGGTGTATTTTTCGCAGTGACCCGTGACTCATCTTCAATGTTTGAGCCGGTGATGTTACGCTGCTATGCTAATTGACCCTATGTATTTGTCCATCGTCTGAAAATGAATTTACACTGAAAACAACAGGGATATTGTCTTTATTTTGTCGCAAGCAAATGTTGAAATGCAAGTTGTAATTTTCAAAAAGACGCTATTTTTAGAAATGATACCTACATTAAGTTTAAGCTGAAAATATATTTTTCTTTTATTCTTTATAATAAATTATTTGTTGAGGCCAAATTCTTCCTGTTGTAATGTTATTCACCATTGGATGAAAGTATATTTAGTTTTCTCCAAGTACAAACTCAATACGGACTCCTTAGACCTGAAGCACGGCTACTCCACATTGAATTCATACCATCAGTGATAAGATAGAGATGACGAATTGAAACATCGCAAAATATATCAACCCAAAACTAGTCAACACAATGCAGCGACTCGGCCGTAAGCGAGCTCGGCTAAACTTAAGATGCAGCTTCTACACTTTGCCTGATCAAGTGGTGGGCACTTGCGACCGAGGTATTGTAGTAAATATCATATCAACCCAAAACTAGTCAACGCATTGCAGTGCCTCGGCCGTAACCGACCTTGACTAGACTTAGAGTGTAGTATCATATCAACCCAAAACTGGTTAACACAATGCAGTGTATTGCAAATTTCAGAAAAAATACATTATGCTCAAAGTTGAATTGATTTCTATTGGGCAAGAGGAACAGATTGATAAATAATCCCATAATGCAACATTAACCAAGAAGATAAGAACACAAACTGCCTAAATATCTAACTCTCCTATAGAAGGAAAAAGGTTCTACTGTTTCAAATCAGTTTCCTATTTATTTACCTTCCTATATTGTGTGTAGCCGTCATGAAACTTTTATTACTTTTAACGCTACATCATATCCTGAAAACAACATAATATTGCCAATACAATATTGAATATATTTGTAGTCTCCACTTGGTTCTGATTATTATAGGGATTAATATTGAGCTAAAGGACTTGTAACAAGTATATGCTTATACAGACATTTATGTATTGTTATGATAATTCGTTAGAATATCTTAAAATCAATAATGAAAGTTGTAAAGTTAAATTAAAATTAAATAAAAACAAATATTTCAAGTAGGAATAAAGAAATAACTATAAAAAAGGTAATACTTGTTGTTCAATATCTTGTGTGTTGGCAAAAACTGACCATCAACAAGCTTAAAAGACCACGCCTCGTACTCTATGCCCAACCCATTTCCATTTCCATACGGCGTCCTACTATGTTAATCTTTTAGAGAATACGCGGACATATAATTTGTCAGCCAGATGTTGAGCTGAGATCGAAGCGTAGGTGACCGGTCCGAGAGATCGAGACTTGTGGTGGTGCCCTTTTACTGCTATTTTTAGACGGTCACCATCGTCGCCGACACCCGTCGCCGTCCAGCACCTTTGGTGCATAATCGAACCTGATGCCTTCACTAGACTAACCCACTCATCCTCCCGTCTCTCTGCTATTTCTGGCACCTGAGGCGCCTGAACCCGCTCACCGTGTTTACAAACAATATCTTTACCAATCATTTTCCTCATTTTATTCGTTACTTTCAACTTCACTAATTTCAAATTGTCTTAGTTCAAAGGTCTTTTTACATGATGACTCCACCTGACCCAACCAATTGCATCCAGTTAACCAGCGCGAGCTTAAGGTCAAGGTTGAACATAGAACGGAACGGACAAGAGTGCCGAGTGCCGCAACCGCGCCTTCCTTCCTCATCCCCATCGCGCTATTCCATGAATTCTATCCCAAAGGACTCTCGGTGGATGGTTTCGTGACGTCCGCGCTGCTTACGTCAGCACAATCGATCCCCGTGACGTACTCGCGTTTATTACCATGGCAACTCCAGAACTTATGAATGAATTCGGCGGTGGGGATTTGGATGATCGCGGGGATGCGGGATGAAGGGAAAGCACTTAACCTAGACATTGCCACCACCTCGGGGCTTTCCAAGGAAAGTGAAAATTTTATACTCTCATTGTCGATCGATGAAGCTATCTCGCTATCTGGTGTTTATTGTTAACCTACGTGTGTTCACTTTTTTTTTGGTGTTATCTTTTTTTTGTGTGATGATGTCAGAGTAATTATTACGTGGATAAACGTTTTTTGAATGTGCTGATTATCTATGGATATGTATAAATTATATATTTATAAGTAATTTTAAGATATGTTTTTTTTTTTCGTTTGGAAAATATGTTGCAACATTTTGTGTCTAATGAGCTGTAGCAGAATTAATAGAAATCGAATAAAATCATGGATATTTTTTTTAAATAGTTTTAACACTGTTTTTTTTTCCTCTACAAACTAATACATTAATTACTTAAATGATTCACTATGTTAATAAATAGAATTTATTCAACTATTTAATTAGATTCGAGATGTTTTCCATAAAACCAAATTCCTACGTGTATAGACAACCAATTTTACTTTTAGTGTTATTTATTTTTAATCGTTTAACACTTAACCAAGTGAATATGGTTTTCTTTGCTGTTTATTTTTGGCATGACAAACACAAAATAATCTATTAGTATAATAATTTAATTTAAAATATTTTAATTAATAATTTTATGCAAGTACAAAATCGTTGAAATAGGCAACTAATTTAGCATGAATGTAAATAATGTCAATATGTAAATAATTAAAATATTAATTAATTTATACAGGTTATTATAAGTCGTGGCTTGATTTTAATCACAAATACTAGAGTTAAAATGATGATTCGTGTAAACATTTTTGGTTTAAACCCATAAATGGCTAATTTTTAAACATACTCTGTATAACTTCAATGCAATTCTATTTCTTATAGTTTAATTCAAAATCAATAATTAAAGTATGAAAATATATTTTATTAGAAAGTAGCTTCAAACTTCATAAGAATTATTACACATTACTCAATAATTTGACAATTAAAAACAATCCTTTATACGTACAAAAAAATACATACATACAAATTATTTCTCGCGTAAATAAACAACTGCCTACAAATAAACTAATACAAATAACTATAGGTACACACAAATTTGTGTTTAATTGAAATATAAACTCGCGATAAATTATTTATTTTTGTTGAGCGACAATACATATACGTATTTCATTTGTTACATTTATTTTTTGTTTATTGCGCAACGAACAAAATCAATTGATAATCAAAATTATTATTGCGATGTACGATTATCTAAAGATGGTCTTAATGATAAACAACCTTCTACCCAGAAATTTGGCCTCTCCAACATGTTTTTCCATAAAGATATTTCTTTTCCTGTTGCATCCATCCAATCAACAGTTTTACCGTAATGTTTACCTGTAAAAAAGTCACAACTTTAGTTAAATAAAAATTTTGAAATTTAATCCAAACCTGTTCCTAATGAAAATCGAACACCGCCTAAAAATTCATTGCTAGCCAATCGATCATGATCCCAAACAGTCAATTCCAAACATCTCTCCGCGAGTTCTTGTAATGTGACGTCATCGTAAACGAACGTGTGGTTCCAGGTTGGATTTACTGTTTTCTTAATCACAGACGTTTTTTGCTTTGAGCTTCTTCCTTTATCGGGTAAAAGGTAACTAAAAAATTAAAAAGAAAATAGTTTTGATCGCGTCTAAGTGGTGAATTAGTATAAACCTTTTGCAAAATGGATCAGATGTTCCGTTAGCTTTTATAGCTGTAAGACTTTTCGCCTCTTTAACTAAAACGTGTAAAGCTCCCCTTGATCGCTTTCCTTTTTTAACAATGGTCATGTCGGGTGGTACAAATTTTAGACCAACTAAAATGTCACCCTTGAATGAGAGCATATCATCGAAAGGTTCAGTCTAAAAAAAAATAACACCATAAAACATATCTATTTAGCAATAATAATAAAGACTAAGAAAGACCTAACAAAAACGTTAAATTCTGTACATCAGCTTAAAGAGGAATGTTTCAGCTTTAATTTGATACCAAAATTGTTTCATAATTTTCATAAATAACTTCTCCAGGATTTTTTTTAAAGTTGAGTTGATATTTTGAGATTAATTTGAAAACATATGTAACAAAAACCTAACTTTATCAAATAACTTTTATGATGTAATGTTACATTACATCATCATCTTAAAGACAATGTTTCAGCTTTAATTTGATACCAAAATCGGTTTACAACTTCCGTAAATAACACCTCCAGTTTTATTTCAAATTTCAATTGACATTTAGAGATTAGGTTCAAAAACGTAACTTTATCTAAAAATTTTCATAATATAATGTAATATGTTTCATACATCATCTTAAAGAGGAATGTTTCAGCTTTAATTTGATACCAAATACGTTTCATAATTTTCATAAATAACTCTTCCAGGATTTTTTAAATTTGAGTTGACATTTTGAGATTAAGTTAAAAACAGGTAACAAAAACATCATTATATCGAAAAAATTTTTAAATCTAACATAAAATGTTTAATACACCATCTTAAAGAGGAATGTTTCAGCTTTAATTTGATACCAAAATCGTTTCATAATTTTCATAAATAACTCTTCCAGGATTTTTTAAAGTTGAGTTGACATTTTGAGATTAAGTTAAAAACAGGTAACAAAAACATCATTATATCTAAAAAAATTTTAAATCTAACATAAAATGTTTAATACACCATCTTAAAGAGGAATGTTTCAGCTTTAATTTGATACCAAATTGGTTTCATAATTTTCATAAATAGCTCATCAAGGATTTTTTAAAATTGAGTTAACATTTTGAGATTAATTTGGAAACATATATAACAAAAACCTAACTTTATCTAATAACTTTTATAATGTAACGTAACATGTTTCATACATCATCCTAAAGAGGAATGTTTGAGCTTTAATTTGATACCAAAATTGTTTTATAACTGCCAAAAATAACAACTTCAATTTTATTTTAAGTTTCAATTGACATTTTCAGATTAGGTTCAAATATTTAATATTATCTAACAATTTTTATAATGTCACCTAACATGTTTCACACATCATCTTAAAGAGGAATGTTTCAGCTTTAATTTGATACCAAAATCGTTTTATAATTTGCATGAATAATAAAAAAAAAATAGATTTCAAATAAACGTATTCTTTTTGATTAAAAATCGTTTAAAAGTATTTTAAAATTATAAAATATTTTTACCCTTTCTTGTAAATTATACCACTTCGGTGTAGGATCATCAAAAACTTTATTTTCTAAAGCCATCATGACCTCCCCCAGAAAATCATTTCTACCAAACATATCAGAATGCCAAACGGTCAGCCATAAAGTTCTCGTTTCCAAACCATTCAATGTGATGTGGAATTTTAAACACTCATCGAAAACGGGGTTCAAAGTGTGTTTTTTCACTTTCGTTTTTCTTTTACCACTTTTTGATTTATCAGGTAACAGATAAACTTTCACGTACGGATCCGAACGGTTTCTTTTCATATCGATAGCCGCTAAATCTCTACATTGTTTCACCATGATTTCTAAGGCGCTCGTCTTGTAATTGTATTGCAAACCAAATTCGACTTGACCTTTTACAGCTACGGTTCCATATCGACCTTCTCCGGCTCCAGAATAAACACTCGCCATCGAATCAGATCTCAACTAAAAAAAAATGTTATCAAAAAAAGTTTCGCTTTGTTAATCAAATTTCAAACTAACACTTACTCCTAGACTAGATAAACTACTTCTATTGTGATGCACAGTTACTAATTTATCAATATCATCCTCGTTACTTCTCCATTCTTGGCTTGAAACCGATCCGGTTGTTCTTCGTGAACTGGGAGCTATCGGACTTTGAGATGCACTTTTGATTCCACCCCTAGAAGCCAACATTGGCGAAGAATGTGCTTCAGAAATACTTGAATCATCTAAAAAAATAAAAATAAATTGAGATTAAATATTAAAAATAATCAGAATGAATTATACTGTTCAATTTCACTTGAATGTAGCCAAGTGTTAAAAACATATTAAAATTTATCTGTTCACTTAAAATATCACCCATTTTTAGTTAATAGTTTTTAAAACTTTCTGGTTGTTGAACTGTTTCTTTGGATCCGGTTCCGCACTACTTAGAGTTTGAAAAGAGACTTAACGGATGCCTAACAGAACAAATAAGTGGATCACTAGAACTTATTACGTAATAATGGACTTTAACGACTGCTTAATTGCAAACGAGCGGTTATTAGAATGAAGATCAATTAATAACATTTTAATTGGTTACCGGGTTTTATCATTATTTCGTTTTCCTTTTATACTTTTTTTGTGCATCATTATATTTTTAATTAGAATTCTATTCCATGATTTGATTGTGTAAGACTTCGATGAAATAAATTTTAAAAGGGCAGTAAAGGTCTAAACAAACTTGTTGGCAGATAAATCTCAAGTGAGTTGACTGATAAAGTGGCTGGATAATAAATAAGTGATTGTATTTCACAAAGTATTACAAAGTGTGTTTAGCAGCAGCAAACGGAGATTGTGTATAAGGTCAGGTATCGTTCCGTTTTCCTAAGCGCGAATAGTTCATAAAGTTCCCAGGGCTTTTGAACCCATTGTGTTTGTCGATGTGGCGCGATGCTAAACCGTAACGACAAAGAAATAGCGCGTGTATTTGAAAGTTACCAACTTTCTCTTTTATTCCACCTTTAAATGTTTATTAACAAAAATAAAAAGTAAACTACAATCTTAAATTATGCTGGAACATGTAAAAAAAGATGAAACTTTAAAAAGATCCTGACTTTGCTTTTAGGATTTAAGCGATCATTTATGTCTTAAATTGAAGCAAAAAGATTCTTTTTTATGATAACTTTTAAGATACATGGGGTTTTATAACAAAAATTAACAGAAAAAAATTTTAATGAAAAAATAGGCAGAGGAGGTTATTTTCGCAACTAAAACTTTAAAAACTCATTACAGCTGTGTTTTAAAGTGCAATGCAATGATTTATGTTTTAAATTAAAGCAGAAATATCCTATTTTGCGGTTGGATTAAAACATCTACTATTTTTTCTACGACTTTTTAGGAAGAAAGTTATACATTACATAATTTTTTTATATAATACCTTGTGAACTTTCGTATTGAAATGAATCATCATTTATGTAAATTTGCACCCGTGTTTTACCACATAAGGATTCAACTTCCGGTTCCACTGTCTGGTTTTGGTTACATTCTTCCTCTTTCATAGCCACACTTAAATTACCAACACTTAAACGTTTGCCATCCTCTAATTTATGAACGTTTAATAATAATACTTCTTTTTGTTCATCCTCTAAAGTCTTTTAAGAAATAGAAAGTAATCGAAGTGAGATTTTGAAATAATATTATTTATTACCTCGATGTATTTAAACAATTCCGCATCGATATCTTCATCATAATCTGATTTATTATCTTCACAACAACAATTTGAGCAGCAAATATTATTGAAAACGTTTGATTTTCGCGATTTAGATTGATTTCCTGTTGTGAAAGTGTTATATTTTGTTTTAAAATTAATTAACCGAGCCATTATGCATAAATATTTTATGCTTTCACTACTGGAACGATTAACAAAATAAACTCAACTATTTTAACATGCAGGAAGTTGTACTGGATTCCTGCTTCCCTTTTTGCGATAACGATTTTTTTTAACGAAACCAATTAAAATAAATTATTTATTTTTAGAAAATTAAAATTCAAATAATCCGATTTAAAAATTGAAACAAATCGATAAAATGATTTGTTTAATCTTGATTAGATAAAAGTAAATATAAATTGTTAATTGAATTTAAAATATAACAACGTTTGTATAACTTCCACGATAATTAAAACAAGTTACGCCCACTATTCAATAACAAAATAACAATAACAAAAACCTCTGGATGTTATTATTTTGTTCGCGTAATGGTTATCAATTATTAAAACGCGATAGAAATATTCAACACAAAGCTATTCAAAAAAAATCCAATTTAATTTTGTTTTAAAAACAAATAAAAGAAAAAAGTGACTAATTGAAATTGTTATTGCGTTACTCATTGATGTACTTAGTCAATTTACAGTGTAATTTATTAATAAAGTTCAGGTTCTCTATCGATAATAATCAAAATTGTGCGAAACAACCGGTTTCAGTTAAGAAATAGAGAGGTATTATTAAATAAAAAAAAAGTGAAAATACATTGAGAGTTAATGTTCTAACAGTTACGCAGCTAAAATAAAGGTCTTTTTTATTGTTGTCGACAAAGAAACAAAGAACTTAAAAAGGTTAAAGTTTTAAAACATTTCTATGTAATACTTTATTTATAATGCTTCTAAAGAAGTGCTATTCTTTAGTTCAATTTGCAACAATGATGACTCAATTTCTATTTATAAAACAAAAAAGGTAAAAAAGCAAAACATAAGAAGAAGATTGAAGAGGAATCGTGCCAATCGCGTGACCTTGACCCGGATTTCAGCATTACATTCGCGCTAGTTTTCGCGTTTTATAATCCGTGTTACAAGTCTGTTAGTCTACTTTCACTATGATCAATGCAGACAACTATTTAGATCTCGTCCGGAATTAAGAAGATGGCAGAATAATGGTGCAAAGAGAAAAGCTCTCTTTTTAGAGAAACTATCCCACATCCTAGATTATATTATTATTGAAATGGTTTCATTTGCACAACTGAAAGAATGTGTTATAAAATTTAGCAAAGATTAGAAACAAAAGATTAATTAAGTATTTACTATTTATCAAGTAGTAGACACTAACAAGTTCAAGGCACAAGACCCTATCTGAGAAGTGATAATAACTAAACTGAAAAGCAGCTATCTAAGTGAATCTAGATCAGCAATGATTAAAAAACTCATCCCACAATTGCCCTAAGATTAAGACTTGCATTAAATGCAACAATGTAATAAATTTGATGGGATATCCAAACCTGATTCTACAACATCATGGCAAAATCGCATTTCATTCCATACAGGTTGTCATGTGACATTCTCATTTTGAGGCATCGATAAAAGTATGGGAGGAAAAAAAATATGATGAAATGCGAATTTGATGAAAAATTGTGCCTAATTTATCACCCTTCAGCATTATGTCTTAATGATGTCTACTATATCTGATGATGATACCAATAAGAACTTCTTAATAAAACAAATCCTAATAAAGTCAATTAAAACAACCCAAAAATTAATTAACAACTTAACAAACTCCAATTGACATTTTACGATGAATCTCGTGACAAACTCGTAATAACCGTGAGTATATAAAGATCACAAAGAGAGTCGTGGGCGTGTACAAACAGTTTTTCCCAACCGATTATCTCATTATAGAGAGTTCGTTTATTACCACAATAACCTTTACGTTACCCTCGTTCCATTCTTTGAATTTATTTCGATTACATCTTGTATTTAATGCTTTCCTCGGCGTAGTTTCGTTCTCTTGATCTTTTGAGTTTCTTTGCCTTTGAGAGTTCGCGTTCCGGTTTCTACGGTCCGCAGAAGATCGAATACGCTTTCATTTTGCAGTTCAACGATTTTTGATTTATTTAAAATAAGTTATTTTTAGATCTTATTTTTTATGGTATTACTTTGAATGAAAATCATAAATATATAATGATGCTAAGTGGGTATTAAATTTGAATAGCAACTTTCACGGTTTCTACTTAAATAATAATTAGATTTCGATCATAAACGAATTACGCGAATGGTGATTAAACATTATAATATAAGAAGAAAAATTTATGTTAAACTTTAAAATAATAAATATAATTTAAAAAAATACAAGTCTAATTAAGACTCGCGTGGGTCCGGAATACATTCTGGCCACACCTCTTGGTTCAATTTAATTAACTCACCTAACAGTTCTTTGTGGATATAGTTCCATTACACTAATTAATTTGTACCATCATTTTTAATCAATTTTGTTTACTCACCAGTATTAACAACAGCTTGTTGAAATCTTCTTCCCCTTCGTTGTTGTTGAGTAAGTTGTAAACCAGGTGCAGAAACAGCTCTTTTAGGAACAGTAATCCTGTTAAAACCCGGTGGACGATATCGCGCACTTTTAACATTATGTTGTAAGAAATGATACATATGTCCTTTAGGCACCGTTAAGCTATTAGTTGTTGTATTATTAGTTGGAAGACGCGGTAAAGAATTCGTTGTGGCAGGCCCATTTTGTAAACTTCGAGGTAAAGTGGATCTATTCTCTAATTGATCCTCTTCGTCTTCGTTATCTTCTTCGTCGCCGGAATCGCCACTTCCGCAAGTTGTATCCGGAACGCTCGATCTTCGTTTCGAAGAACTTGAAGGTTTGGTGACCCAAAGTTTGTCTTCGCTATTTCCACCTCCGATTGAACCGCAAGATCGAACGCGATCGAGTTGTTCCCGACTCAGACTTTTGTGTGAGAATAAAAGATCTCCAGCTGAACGTCTTTTCGCTGCAATCGCTAAAGCTGAAGCTGAGTTTGAGTGTTCACCAATTGACGAGAGTTTGTTACGAGAGTCGGTAGCTAAAAGAGCCGATTCAAAACTTCCTCTCCAACTAAATCTTTCGCAATCACTCGTTTCTCGTTCTTCGGTGATGTCAGAAACGCCACTATTTGATTGATGCATTCTACTTTCGCTTAGAAGTAAATCGTGAGATCTACTTCTGGGTAAAAGATTGTTGTGATAACTTACTTCTTCTAATGTTGATAATTTATCGATGTTGCTATCGGATGTTGAGTCATCATCTTCAGAGGAGTGTAATTTATTGATGTTATTGATTCGTTTATGATACCTAGTTTTTGGGCTAACACCACTACAATGACTCTCACCACTACTAACTTCATGCATTAAAGCAACCAATCTCTTGCCGATGTGATGCATAACTTTCGCGATTAATGGTGGGGAATTATGAGGGTTGCTCGTTTTTTCGTTAATATCATCCCCAGCGGCGATTTTCTCGATCGATGCAACAAGTTTTTGATAAACAAAAGCGGTCTCTTTACTTAAACCTTGATTATCAATTCCTCCATCGCCTTCATCTCCTTCTTCATCTTCAGTGCTTTTATCGAATTTATTAATTATTTCTTGGCAGCTATCGGAAATTTGTTGTTGGAGTGCCGATTTAGATGATCCTTCTAAATCAGAACTTGTATAATCTGAAGAATCGTAAGAATCGCTCCATGTGTCTTCGCTACTTAAATATTCAACAATTTCTCGGACTTGATCATCACGAATACCAGGAACGGTTTTCATCAACCTGGTTAATTCGTTTTCGAAGTAAACTAATTGGGGTGGTTTGGATTTTTTCATTCTTGGACTATTTCCAACGATTTTTGGTGAATTAATTGGGGTGGTTGGTTTTGAGTTTTGATTCACCATCGTTTTGAAAAATTGTCTCATCTTGCACATCATCAAATTGGTTTCTTCATCAGAACTCCAATTGTTAAAGCTGTCTTTTCGTGTCAAGTTCGTTACCGGAGGCCTTGAAAATTCAAATTTGGGTTTTTCTTGTTTATGAATATTTTCTTTGTTGTTAGATTCGGTGTTGGGGTCTTTGATAAGATCGTCGAAACTACCCACAAAACCGCTATCTCTTTGTTGTTGTTGGAGACGAGCTCGTCGATCGTCGTTTTCTTCTTGGGGTTCTGTATCTAGGGGTTCCTCGATGATTTCTTCGGGTTTTGTGGATTTGTTATCTTCGGTTTTTAACTTTTTCTTTTTTCTTTTAACCGTATCGAATTGCCCATCGGATTTTTCGAAGCTGTTTTCGTCGTAAGTATCGGAATCGGAATCTTCGGAGTTTTCGCTTTCTTTTTGGGGTTGTTCATTTCCGGATTCTGGGTTTACTAATAAATTATCTAAAGAAGAGGAATGTGATCTTCCGGTTCCGCGGGCTCGCACCAAACGTTTTCTTCGTTGTTCCGGGCTGGGTTTACCCTCACTATCACTACCCACACTTCCATCGGAATCACGTCGTTCCTTAAAAGTCATGAACCCGCTGAGAAAATATTGTTCAAGTCGGGATGATGCTAAATCAACTGGGTCGTTGATTTCGTTCGGAGGTGTTTTATCGTGTTCTTTAAATCCCATCAATCCACTAAGAAAATATTTTTCGAGTCTCGATGAAACTAAATCGGCGGGGTCTGTTTCGTTTGAAGTGGCTTTACCAACCCCGCTAGTGGTTGATTCAGGACTTTCACTACAAATACTACTTGTTTCTGAGAAAGCATCTTCAGCTTGATGGCGATTTATGTTACCATTTCCAAGTCCGTAATAAAAGTACTTTTCTAAATCGGTGGCGGAAATTGGTCGTTTCTTTGGGGTTTGTTCAACATCGCTTTCTTCACAACTCTCCTCAACGATCGTGTGGAGGGTAAAATTAATCGCAGTTCGACGATAACCTCTCAAAACGTCTTCTTGATCGGTACACATGTTGGTTTCTTCGCTCGATGAGGACTCGTCGAAGTCTTCATCGTGCGATAAATTTTCCACCCACGAGTCATCGTCTGCGAGGCCTTCTTCTAAACAAACAACAGCTGAGAGAGTATCCGCACCCGTTATAACCGTAACGTTCTCATTATTTAAACACTGAACGGAGTTAAAAAAGTCATCTTCGCGGGGTAACTGCGAATTTGTATGTTGAACAATTACCTCATCGGATTCGTTGACGATTTTCGTCGTATCTGAAGTAACAACACTAACTTGGGGGTAAACAGATGGCTCTTGCGTGATCATAACGAGAGACGTATACCGCGCCGCATGTTTTCCTTCACTGAGAGTCTCACCTGACCACTCACTCGATTGTTGCGTCTCATTCCCCACCACTTCGAGTTCATCGGTGCGTTCAGTGTTGTCACAGTCTTTATCATCGTCTCCGTCTGAGGAGGAGGAGAAAGAAGATTCCGCGCTAACGTCTGATAAACGCGGGGAATTATATTCGCGAAGAGATTCACGACTTTCCGATAGTTTTTTAACCGTTTTTAAAATAATCCCATCACTATCATCATTATTGTCTTCATTGTCGTAATCATTATTATCCTCGTCGTCACTATCATTTTTATTTGCATCGTCTTCGTTATCTTCTTGATTCACAACGTATACACACGAAAACTTTGTTTTACGATCAGCTACGGTTCCGGTATCATCACTATCGGTTTCGGAAGAACTTCCGGAACTTGATGGTTCTTTAGAACTATCACTAACTTCACTGCTGGGTAAAGCATCATCATCGGATGATTTATAATCGTCACTTATGGTCACATTATAACTTTTTACAACTGGTTTATCGTCGTCGGAATCGTCTGATGAACTGACGAAATTACACTCTGATAATAAGTAGCCGAAATTTTCGGGATTCATTTCTTCTTCATTTTTTTCTTCGTTTGGTGTTGTTTCGTTGTTAACACTCGGACGTTCACTGGTACACTCAACGTGCTCGTTACGTTCTGTTGGTTCACCTGTACTATTCGACGTTGGTGTTTCGCTCGCTTGGTTCGCAAACTCAGTTTGTAGTAAGGCTGATAACAACTGGGTGTTATCTACATCGTTAATCAACGGCCAGATAAGCGCGGCTTGGTTGAATATGGGTAATATAGAACGCGGACACCTCATTCGCGATTTTAGAAGGTTGTCGTAATTTTCTTTAAAGAAAACTAACGATTCTTGTGGAAATAATGTCGGTATTGGTACCGGAATTGGAACTGGAACCGGAAATGGAACAAATTGGGTTTGCGTACAACCACAACTCTTACAAGAATTTATACATTGTAACGAAGAAACATCACCCATTACACTCATTTCTTCTTCAGTCTCGATTTTTTCATTTTTATAGTCACTCGAAGGACTTTCACTATCGATTCTTCTCTCATCGTCTGTTGTCGTAGCGGAACTCCTTCTGCAAACCAATGGGGACTCAATGGGTGATTCCAAATCTCTTCTATAAACACTTGGTGAACCGAACGGCGAATTCCAACTTAAAACTCTTGATGTGCTTACACCGGGTTCGAAATAATCCCAATCGCAATCGTCTATAGGAAAACTGGATGCCGATGAAGAATCATTATCGTCGACGTCTTCTTCTTTTGACGAACTGTCTGAACTGATGAAGACTAATTTGTAATCGTCACCCTCGGGAAGTAAAATGTCCAGGAGATCCGCATCCGGACGTCGCCAACCTGAGAAACACACTGAAGGTGAAGTCGAGGTGCCAATTTCTTGGACTCGAACCCACGCGATTGTTACGAACCACCTCCGCACCAAAAGCAGAAACCGTTTCAGTACAGAAAATCATACAAAAAATTATACAAGCGTTGTTAGTCAAGTATATTATTAATTGGTATTATTAGTAAGAGAGATAGATTAAAACGGGATAAATTATTGAATGGGCATTGTTCCTGAATGGATAAAATATACGATTGGGTCTATATATAGAACTATTTTTTCTTTAAAAAAAGAAATGAGGTAAACCGAGCCAATACATTATGTATGTGGCCTTTGTCGATTTCCGTCGATTTACTTGAAGCAATAACAATAATAACACCAAGTTTATTAAACGAATTTATAAACTTTCAAAAAAACAACTTCATTTCACTTTTTAAATCGTGATAATGAAACGACGTGTTAAATTACAAAATTAAAAAAAAATTATGGAAATTTGTGGGTGCTCAGGTAGTTTTTATGTTCCGAGAAAATACAACAAGTCCCACCAAATAAACACGTGACTCATAGAGTTTAGCCTGTGGCTCTTCTGGCAAGGTTAGTAACCCGGATTTAACTTTCCGCGTCTGCGAGCACTACTTCGTTTCGCGTCGTTTCACTTTTACCTGTTCGCTTTGTTTCGTTCCTTTTTTTAAAGTTTACTACTATGGAGTTTAGACGATCATTTTGTTGTTCTATAGGCAACCAAATATACTTCATAAAAGCTTATAAGTTAACTTTTATCAAAATAAATACTTCTCTGATTGATTTTTGATTGACCTATCTTTATGTATCACACTTTGTATCTATGAAATGAAGAACCCAATAATAATACAGAAGAAATAAACCCCGACTGGACTTAGAGAACGTGTTTAATAAGATTAAAGACTAAACCAGAGAAGGCTTGAGCAGTTATGAGTCTGTTCCTTTTTATGGTGTTAATGGATGATATAATGAGGGAATGTAACAAAAGAACAAGCAATGGTTTAAGGTCTAAGGTTGGGTTATAAAAATTTAAGAACAATAAAAATTTCGGAGACGCACATTGTGGCAATTACAGGGAATAAAGTGGAATTCAAAGAGAGATTTGAGAATCGAAATTAAGAACAAAGTGTTAGAGTAGCTTGAACACTACAACTATTTGAAACAGGAGAAGAATGTAAACGAAAGAATAGAGAAGACTATTAAAACATACTTTGCACCAACGAAAAGATTTATTGGGAAAAAAGACGTCAATAGTGGAAGACTTCATCATTGCAAGTATGCAACCAATATCACAGTATATGCGATTTGAGTATTGCAATACTGTGATATTGGTTGCATACTTGCAATGATGGCGTCGGGTACGATAATTAATTAACACACTGTACTAAAACTAATGTATGGAAGCGAGTCGTGGATGCTTACAGAGAGGAACAAACCCAGATCCATGCAATGGATATGAAATTTCTAAGAATTAAAAAAAGTTAGAGAAGAACTGGAGGATGGAAAATATTTTGAACTACATCTATAGTAAACAACTGAGTTGGTGGAGATATAATTAGGCTAAAAGGAACAGCAAGTACAACAAGTTTGGGAGATACAGATACAGGTGAGGAGAGGAAGAATGATGGATAGAAGCTAAAGAACTGGTGATGGATAAAGGATAAATAGTAAAAAACTAAATAATCTTTTTTATAACAGAACAAGTTTTTCAAAACTTCCCTATATGATTGAATAAGTTCACCTATATGCAAAAAAGTTTATTTTACAGGTGTTGTACGCGGTATAACCGCAACTTTCCATCCACTTCAAGCAAAATATGCCCTGAGGTAATTTAAAGTTTGAAATTGTGCTCTATAACATGCATGGAGTTTGTAAAGAGGTTGTTCACACAAAGGTTAAATTATAGTTAGTTAAGTTAGCGTTTAGTAAGCAAATTATTATACACCAATTGATAATAAAAGTCTAAATTTAAAAATTTCTTACCGTTATCAATAGCTTGCATCTTTCTCATATCTTGTCGTCGCCTTCTCACAGTAACTTTTCGAAAAACGGTTCCACTTAAAGGTTCTATATCGCATAATTCAACAGGAACAGCTTCGTCTTTATTTTCTTTATTAGAATTAGCATCCAAATCGTTATCTTCGGGAATATTTAGATTATTTTTATCGTTAAATGTTTTCTCCTTATTTTCTAATAATTTTCTTTGAAAGTGGTCATCGAAACTAACTCGTTTTTCGTTTACATTTTTCTCTATTAATTCTCGTTGATTCGCAATGATATTGTTCTCGTTCGGTATTTTTTCGTTTTTCGTTTCTTTATTTATTTCGTTTTGTTCAACATTTTCACCACTTATTATTTCATCGTCCTTTTTATCCGTTTGAATTTTCAAAAATTTCTTTTTTGTTAACTTTTCGCTTTGTCTTCGCTCAGCAAATTTAATCAACGGGTTTACTCTCACCGGAGGCGATTCAATTTTACTTTCTTTTACGTCGTCGATAACATTTCGATCGGAATAAACATCTTCACTATGGGACCTTTTAGCTGGGGAATGTTTCTTTGAATCGTCCTGATTTGAATCTTGATTTGAATTTTCCGTTTTTTGATGAGCTATTAACGATGGATAACTTGATATATCCTGACCTCGGGGTAAACTGCTGTAGGGGCGCATTTCTGGCGCTTCTCTTAGATTATTCCAGCGCGGGGTTGGATCTACAGAAACGAATTTAGTTTTAAGAACATAGGTAGAAAATAATGTTATATTTACTCGATATGGTCCAAGATCTTCTTAAGGTTCTGATAATGATGTCAGCTGCAGGAACGTAAACTCGATTGTCGCGACGTCGACTTGGACGACGAACGAATTCGTTCATCCATTCCCCCGAGGCTGCTTGAATTTCCCTGAAAGATATAAAATGGTTGAGAGGAAAGATTGAATTATAAAGGGGTAATAAATTTTACTTTGTGGTGGACGTGAAAAATTAACTAAAGCGTCCGCGGTTTAAAATGTTCCTCCTTAAAACGTAAATAACAAAAATCTTTAGCATTAATGAAAAGATATACATATACAAGAGGTAAATTGAACTCGATGTACATATATGCAATTTTAATCAGCTTTACGGGGAAGGTTCCATTTAATGCGGTTTTAGTTCGAAACACCTGCGCTAAAATCGATTTTATTGAGAGGTACTTACTGGTTAAAAATATCTTTGTCTTTTTTCATTAAAATCGTTGTTTATTTTAATAAATACAAGTATCTCTTTGTAATTTTAACTGATAACTTAAAAGTCATTTAAATTATCTTACTTTAATATCTCTAATATCTACTACAAACAACATTTCTCTTAATTAAAATTCCTTGTCCGATTCTTTCATTCCATCTAGATTTTCAACATCACCTCCTTTAATTAGTTTGTCCTCTTTGGGGAGTACTCCAGGGAAATAAACGAGAATAATACAAACCTGATAAGATCCGAAAATGAGAGAAAAAGGAAAAGGGGGAAAAATGTAAAAATTTCGCGACTCAACCAAACAGATTTTAATCGATATTATTAACTAATTTAAACGCGAAAATAAGTACTCCAAGATATCTTTTAATTTAATCTCGTTACATCTATCTCGAGTATTCTTTTTTTAAATAACATTCTAATAATGAAATGTTTTCAAGAGCGAACTGATAACACAACGGGTATATTAAGGAGAGCACCAAATCGAAGGTAGTTGTAAAAAAGACGAAAATGTTGATGAAAGCTTTAGTTTTTGTCGCAACGACGTTCGTTGTTGCTAATTGCGTTGAATTCCGAATTCGCAATAACGAAATTGGGGCAATTTGGGTTGGTATTCTTGGAAACGCTAATAAAGCTCCACTGGCCAACGGAGGATTTGTATTGGAAGCTAATAGCGAGGTAATATTATTTCATAGAAATTCATAATTACGCTCACAACATTATTTTTGTCACGACAGAATTTAAAATAGTTGGTAAATTAAATCGTATCTCAAAATCCAATTGAGATGTCATTATGAAGTAAAAAGCAATTTAAAGCAAATTTAATTAGTATTTAGTGTGTTGAAGATCATTTCTTCAAATCTTCAAATTTCGGAGTTATGATTTTTTGAATACTACTCTACATAAGAATAATTATACATATTATATTAAAAGCAATTAATCTTTAAAAAACCGTATCTCGTAGAGAAAAATTTTTCTACAAAAGCGGGTTTCTAAAAAACACTTAATCATCGATTGGTTACCGAAGGTTTGAAGCTAACATGACGCAAATCGAGTTTTATAAAATTGAGGTGATCTCAATTAAGGTGATTAAATCGATGAATGTTCTATTAAAATTTTACAAAACTCGTTTTTGATTTATTACCACAACAACTCAGAGTTAACTCTCGATTAATGTTAAGTTAAGTGTTGATTAATATTCGATATATAAATTTAATAACCATTTTAGACAAGTATTCAAGCTCCGGATGATTGGGCTGGCAGATTCTGGGCAAGAACTTGGTGTAATTACGACACTCAATATTGTGAAACAGGAGATTGCGGTTCTAAATTAGAATGCAATGGAAACGGTGGTGCTCCCCCAGTTTCTTTGGCAGAAATCACTCTTAGAGGATGGGGTGGTCTCGATTATTACGACATCTCATTAGTTGATGGATATAATTTAAAAGTCTCGGTATGTATTTTATATGATTAACTGTTATTGATAGAATTAAAATTAATGAAATTAATTTTAAATATAGATGGAACCAATAAATGGTGGTGGTGTTGATGGTGACTATGGTTGTAAAAAAGCTTACTGCGATTATTACATAAATAACGATTGTCCAAGTGAATTACAATTGATTGGAAGTGCTGGATATGCTATTGGTTGTAAATCAGCTTGTTTGGCTTTCAACACTGATCAATATTGTTGTCGCGGAGCACATGGAACGCCTGAAACTTGCAGATCAAGTGATTGGCCAGTAAATTATCCCCAATTTTTCAAACAGAGATGTCCTGGGGCTTATAGTTATGCTTATGATGATACTACAAGTACTTACACTTGTATTGCAAATGGTTATTACATCGTTTTTGGTTAAATAATAATGATGTGAGGAAATACAAATAAAATTTCATACTTACATGTGTTTATGACAAACTGTGCACACCCAATCGGTTGTTCTAAGCGAATATTCCCTACATCCTTTGCAAACTTTTAATCTGCAAGCTCGGCAATAAGCTCCCCTGTTTATAACTCGTCCTAATTCCACCCTGCATCTCCCACAAGATCTATCTGGATCAGGTACTGTGCTATCAAAATCGGTTGAAGTTGCTTTTATGGCACCTTTTCTTCGTAAACTTTGCAACTCCGCTTTTAATCTCCTAAAAAATAAAAAATTAAACTAAATCTTTTTATATAGGCAAAAACAAGTTTTTATAAGGTGAACGTTTTTAACCAAAAATCGATGTGTACGTGATTCTTAAAGTTTTCCAATTGTACCTTTTATGGGGTCTTATCGGTTTTCACATTTCTATTATAGATTTTTATCCGTTTACGTCTTTTTAAGAAAGTATCGGTCTTAACAGTGCGCATTTAAACCGTGGTAAACGGTTTGATAGATTGAAAATTGGATAAAAAATTAATTGGAATGTACTACCTAATATTTACAATAAATCTCAATTTAACCAATAGTGAAAACAGAAGAACCGGGAACTTCCGCCTTCGACCAAAAACCGTTATCGTTTCCTTTGTTAAAACGAGGATTGCGTGTAAATTTCAAAAAAAGTGTTTTCCCATAAGAGTTATAGAATTAAAATTGCCGGAGGTAATTTAAAAAGAAAAATCTGAAAAAGAATTAAAATTAACATCCGGGGTTGATGTTCTTTAAGATTTCTATAAAACGTGATTTTCATTTTCTTTAGAATCTTTTGTCAACTAAATTATGCTGTAAAGATTAAAGAAATTGTATTACTCATCTCATCACTTTAAACCGACTGTTATTGTTATTCTTTGTTTAACAGAGCATTGCAAAAAAGTCAAGGTTAACGCCAATTATGTAATAAGCGAAATCGTTTTATTTTAACACGATTTCTAAACATATTTCCACGTGAATAAATGACAAACAATAACAATTCGTAAAAAAAAATCATACTACCTCAACCTACGCTGTCATAGCTAAATTTCCTTTGATGTCCAGAAGTTGAATGGACATCAAAGGGTCTGTCGAGATATCAAGGACCAAACGGTGTGTATAACCCCGTAACCAACAGAAACACATTGCTTAGAATCCGCATCATAACACACATGGTGATTTTATTAACATTTCGCAGAATGTTTACATAAGTACGACACATCATTAAGTCACGTGGTTCATAAAATTTTCAAGGATACCAGCACCAATCGATTTAATTATATTCGCCATTTACGGTTAATTATAGACGGTGGCTTGAGATAGGTGATATTTTTACGTATATCCTATTCGAGGAATAAAGATAATATATTGATACATAATAATGAAAGAAAAATGATATTGTATATTAAAGTTAACACGATGCAAACAACGTGATTATTTTGATATTGGTATATTTTGTGTTATCGTGTTCAATTTTATAAAGTGGTTTTATAAAATCGTCTTCAGTAATCAATCATAAAGTTTACATGAATTACCAATTTAAATGTTTATAACATTCAAATTAGAAAGTAAATTTGTAACAAGTTGATGTTGATGGATCACATCTGATAAGAATATATTATAATAATTTGTGAATATATTAAAGTTTAAAGTTATAGCAATTTTTATTAAAATATCTCGAAGAAATGAGATTATTTTCAATTTTATCAATTAACATAAGAAATAGAAAAAAAAAAAGTTAGCATAAAAGATGCTGTATTTAATAAGAAATCTTTTTTATTAAACTCATTTTTTTCCATATCTTTTAGTTTTTGAGTTATAATCAAACATAGTCAACAATCAAAATTGAAAATAGTGTACAATACTATTTGATTAACATCACATTTTCATAACCGAAAGCTAATATAATGCGCAAATCAGAAAGCCAGAATACACGATTAATGTAATGTTATAATGCGTTAGTAGCTACCTACGTGCAATACAATAATAATACAAAACATGAATTGCTTGAAGCTTGAATCGAGCTAACCGCGATAGGATTTAATAATGCTTTCTCACTCAACCCTCCGCAAAAAGGTTTTGGAAACCCATCCCTAATTATGATTTAATTGAGGATAACCAGAAATGCATGTTTGATTTCCGGATAGGATTTAAAATCTTTTTTTTTTATTATCGATATATTAGATATTTAACTCTAAACTTATAAAGTAAATAAACGAAATGTGTAATATAACTGCGCTCTATAAGGGATTGTTTGGTCGTTCAAGATCAACAATTTGGATATTTCAGTTAGCTTTCAATAAATAAATACAAATAAGAAATCTCCGTGATATACTGGGTTTGTAGGAAACTAAATATCCTCGTTGAGAAATACCTTCAAAGTTTTGACAAAGAGTTTTAAATGTTTCATTGAGAATGTGGGCAGTTTCAGACATGTTGATAAATATCAAATCATAAAAACTGTTTCAAACTATTAATACATTACGGCATATATTCAATAGGTCTTTCACACGATTTGATTTTTGATAATGATTCGCACATTTCTCATTGATTCGCATATTTATAGTGTAATGGACATAGCAGTCAGAAATTCTGCATCTGCAATGGGACCAAACACATTTTTATATATTCTTAAAGGTTGGTGCCTTGATAAGAAATCGATAATGGATTTGAATTTCGTAGTTCATTTAGAGAGATTAAAGAGTTTAATGGAGATAGCAGTCAGAAATTCTGCATCTTCAATGGGACCAAACACATTTACATATTCTTAAAGGTTGGTGCCTTGATAAGAAATTGTTAATGGATTTGAATTTCGTAGTTCATTTAGAGAGATTTGATGCATACAAAGTATACCAAATTTGGAAAAATTTTGGGATTTCAACTCTGTTAATTTGAGATTTAAAATATTATTTTAAGATTTTGTATTTTTTTTATAACTCACCCAGTATCTTCGGTAGGAAGGAATGCTGTCACAGCCGCCATAATAACAAAACCAGATAGAAATTATGACATTCTCCACAATAACTATATCCTGGGGTACGAAGAAACGAGAAGTATAATAAGAAAACTGCCCACAGAGATCACGTTGACATACTTTCCCCGTGCGAACACACGGACACACACAGTCACTCACGGAGACACTGTGTAGTTGTTGGGTACCTTTCTATGCGAAAAGAAACCCTGTTACGCAATTGTTACACTTAAACCGTGCCTTTTGTCTCTCGGAATCGAACGTGTTTATAGACTTGATAGGCGCCAGGTTCGAAAGGTCAGAATCGGAACCAGAAGACTTTCTTAAAAACTAAAAAAAACCATCGCCGGAATAAGAGGGTTATAGTAGGATACTATGTTGTTGCGTTTAAACAGTTTGACAACAACACGGGTCTTCTCTTCGGTGTTTCCCACTTGCAGTGCCCATCGACTCGCTATTTCCACTTAGTACACCATTGGGGTTATTGAACTTGGCTCGGTTGTAAATCTCTATAAAGACTTGTGTTTAAGTTGCCACTCTCCGCAGATTTTCCCTTTTTTAAACTTCCTTCATTTTTAATAATGTCTTTATCAAAGAAAACAGTTTGTTGGAACTTGCCAAAAGAACTTGTAATAGAATTCGAAGACTTTTTCTTCTTATTTCACTTGGAGAGCTCAACGGTAGGTTGAAACGTAAACACGATTGCGTAAAATTTAAGTCACCACATCAAAATCGTCCATAAAATTCACTGAATTCACATAGAAACAAAGGGGAGATTCCGTAGTGTGTTCACTTTTCCTTCTTTCGCTCGTAGATGGGATAATAACAATGGTCGTTTGTCGGGTTTCAGAAGAACAACACTGGCGTTAAAAAGGAGATTGTGCGCGGCCGCTAAGGCGATCTCAAGGCGCACTGAACGACGCATGCGTCTTAATGGAACAGTTATATTCAAGTGCCCACGAGAAAGGTTTACAACAAACCAATCTGACAGGTGGTTGGCGGATGTTAAGTTGGCGTTAAATATCTTTGGCGACTTTAAGAAACATTAATGGTCGATTATGATACTATTTTCTTTATGTCATAAATTATTAGTACTCAGTACTGTTAGGTTTCTTTAGTTCCAAAAACAATTACCTAAATAGAATTACATCTTTTAATCTTGATGATGATATTTAATGATTTGAATTGGCTAATTTACAAGTGATGTATATTACCAAATGAATAAGAGAGAAAAGACTGAGAAGGGAAGTAATAAAGGTAATAAGGGATGGGAGTTGGAAAAAGAAGCATTGGAATGGAGAAAGTACTACAATGTTATAGGTTTGGGGTCAATGATGTTGAAGAAGTTATGAGGGATATTTAAGAGTGAATCGAGAGGGGTGAATGCGTGCTGCTTGAAGGAGGGTGTTTATCCGAGGTTTGAATGTTGGAAAGAGTGGTGCAGCTGTCAAAACTGATTGGTTTCGATAGTTCGCAAGATTTTAAACAATGGAATGGAAGTGCAGAAGGATGTGTAATTTTTCCTTGGAGTGATTGTGGATCCAGCTCTGTAAAGTGTATCTCAAAAATATTACAAACAATATCAATTAAAAATATTTTGTTATTGTTATTGTTTTTGTTATTTGTATAGCAGCGTCCCGAAGTTTTATCTTCAAAAGCAAATGTCAGATCTTGCTAATAATATGTCTCTGAACAGATGTTAATGTTTCCAAACGATGACCAATAATCGATATCCATTACCTCAAGGTTAATTTTTAGGTTGACCTTTGCAGAAAACTTCACCTTTTTTATTCGCCTTCTTCGAAACACCAAAAATTATTTCTCAAGGAATATTGTTCATGTTATTTCGAAATATTTATTATACCTAGAAGATATTTCTTAATTAACGCTTCAATCAAAGTATTTTACAAAGAATTCAAGAAACTTTAACCGTTTCAATTAATTTTTCATCCTCATTATTAAGTAGACCGGTATTAATTCTTGTAAAATTTTATTGTTGCAATAATTTGTTTAGTATAAATAACAAAATGTTTTATTATTTAACGAATATCTTTAAAATACAAACACAACGAGAACAAAAAAAGAAATAGTAGTCGTCGTAAAAACGTGGTCCAGGGGATTAGAGCTGGAAATTTAAGTAGTGGAAAATGGCCTCAGTAAAAAAACGGCTTGAATATTGTATGGCTGTATCGAAGCTTTCATTATGGGAAAAATCAACGAATAAATTTTGTTCTTTATCGCTTAAAAGACTAGATTTAACTTTATTTTGGTGTACAATACGTTTCATTAAATTCATAAATAAAATCAGGCGATTTTTAAAATTTAATCTTTTAATTGAATCATTGAATTTATTATTTAATCACATTCTGTTTCCAGCTTAAGAAAATACTCTGGTTTTACATTTTAACAACTTAATTAAGCAAATTTATGCACAAAACATTGTCTACAAATACCAAATTTTCCACTGAAAACCCACCTCCGGTGACAATTTATCTTTTAGTTTAACCACTTCTCTCTATCTCTTTTATGACATTGGATACTCACTGCAACCACAGTTCTGTATTACAACGAGAATGAGCAAAACGTGGAACACGCCTACACCAAGTGTTGGTCGACCACACACATACTGCGTCTCTGTGTTTGTCCGTCAAAGGAAAGTTTTCATCATCTGTTTAAACTCTTTTGAAATCTCATTGTTTCATGACTAATACCGCGGGACTTATTTAGTCAATTCAAGTACGACGCGGTAATGAATTCAATTAATTCATTTCAATAGAGAAATTAATAACAAGAGGTTAAATCATGTGTTAAAATCGAATTAGCCAACTAAATTGTTTAACGCAAATTTGTGATATATACAGAAATGTTTTAAATAAAATTAAATATACTTACAAAACGCGTTGTTGTTGCTCCCTTTGGATTTGTTCATTTCTTCTTAGCACTCCTAAAATAATCTGTCGCTCTTTGTCCGTTAATTTAGCAGCTTCTTGATGAGCGGCGGCGACAATCGCATGCGAACAAGCCGGATCGAGACAACACTTGTTCATACTTGACAGAAGATAAAACGTAGAATCGATTCAATTTAGCTTTAAAATAGAACAATGACGAACGCGAGGTTTATAATGGTAGTGGTAAGATTATTATTTCAACTTGACAACTCGACCTAAATTCCAATTTTGAACGTTGAAAAACCATTGTTTTGTCATTTACCAATTCTTCGCGTGACTTGAAGGGTGCGAAATCCGGCGAACGTTATCGGTTTATGTCAAGTTCAATTCTGCTCCCGCTGGTTATGGAATAGTACTTCCTGAGTTGTTTGACAAAGTTTACGTTTCGATTAGATCGCATCTGAAACCGTATTCAAATACGAAATTCTGCTGTATTATTCTTGACGGTGTATGAAATGATATGGATTGGGTTGAAACTACATGCTAGTTTTAGTTATATATTTGTTGAAAAATAAAAAACAAAAAAAAATTTGATAAATTAGCGAAATTAGGTTGCATTGTATTCCAAATATTAAAATATATTCTTTTCGTGGACAACCTCGAGGAGTAAAAAGCATCACATTAAACTTGAGAAAGTGGGAAGTTGGAGAAAAGTGTTGGTGAGATCGATGAGGTTGGTGAAGTGTAAATGTAAAGTTTTCAAGATAAATAAAACTTTTCTTCTGGAAACAAAAGAAAACTTGTACTAACTATTATGTAAATATTTAGTTATAAATTTCCAACACAATTATAAAGGGTCACCATTAGTTCGAAGATGCGATCGATAACATGTGGTTTTCCCCACGTGTTCTGTGACCACTGCAATACAATTCGGGTTTTGATCGCTTAGTGGTTATCTCATCATTGCCGGTTTCTATTTCCTTAAAACTCAGAATATCTCAAATTAACGCTACTTTAAAGCTTAAAAAGGTTAATTACATATCCAGCATCTCTATATATACCACAAGCGACCTCGGCTAAGTGAGAAAAACAATTTCTCATTCAAGTGTTGTATGTTAGGCTAAACAACGCTAAACCTAATACTTTATCGCAGCTTTATGTTAATAAGGTTACATACCTCGGCGAAATGTTTACAAACGATTTCTCATTCAAGTGTTGTACCTTTTCACGACATCAAATGAGCGATATCATCTAACTCCGCCGAGGTGGCTTGCGGGCGACGCGCTAGAACTAAGTTTATACCAGCTTTAGGTTGATATAACTACATATCCAACGTCTCGAAGTGATTATAAACGATTTCTCATTCAAAAGTTGTACCTTGAGTTCACTTTCGAAGACATCAAATGAACCAACTTACGTTCATATAATTAAATTTTACGATTTAATATATAAATCGTTTATTAACGATTCGTGAGACCCACGAGAGATTAAAGCGAATTGTTTCAGCTTTTCTATGTCCGCAATGCAGATTGTTACAATTTTTAATTTTTTTGCTAAACGATGAGCGTAATCGAGATAAAAGGGCATTTAAAAAAAAACTACGTTCAAAATTCACATTCGATTGACTTTGTTATTCGCGAAACTATGTAACAAAATAACATAACAGAATGAAATTTTTTTTGTGCGAATTGAGGAAGAAGTGAAAATACTTGCGCGATGAGTTTACGGTTAGGAAACAAGTTGAATCTGATATCTTACTTTTTTCCCTAGGGGTGGATATCATCGTTAAAGATGGGATAATTAGAAAGAAGAATCAGTTGTATTTTGAATTGAAAAGTTTTGAATGCAATCTAATTTCCCCAATCTTTTAATTAAGCTAATCTTTTAATGCAAGTTAAATTAAGTTCTTGTGTATTAAGTATAATTTAAAACTAAATTCCACATACAATTGTTTTTCGACATTTTATAGTTGCAATTTCCACTTAATCACCTTTCCAAAAACCTTAATTAATTTAATGAAACAATACAAAACTATGTATTTCTCTTTTCGAATCGAGAATGCGTGCTTATTTTCGCCGCGAGGCGTTGTTTAAACTTCGACCGCCAGCCAAGTACTAACTAAAACGTACCCTCTCAATTTTCCACCCTTCTTCATGTTGGCGCATCCATTTCCATGGCGACACGAGGGAGGAAAACCTCATTCTGACGTCATGGTATTGTCCGCACAACAGGTGTGTTTCTCCCACTCCAAAACAGTTTGTCTTTAAAATTTTTTTTAAATGAAATATGAGGGTTTTTAAAAACGATTAATTTCTTTATGGTTTCATCTATATTTTTTAATTATAATCAACAACTCTAAGTACAATTTGCATTCCATTTTTAATTATATCTTACACGATAATTATGTACATATAAAGTGCTGACTAAATGTTTTGTAAAAAAAAATTGGAATGTTTAGTTCTTGTAAATGATATACACTCTATACGTTACGCGGAACAAAAATATACAAAAAAGAATAACTTATGTTTTTGAAAACCTTACATTTAATTATTTAGTTTTAGTACCATAACATGCTAATGTAAAAAAAAATTCGTTTAGATACTTACAAAATAATATTAATAATTAAATTCTCTCACAACTTTTCGTGTTATTTTATACGATTTATATTTTTGTAAATAGCTACCACATAAATGGAAAATTAAGAGCTAACAATTAGTACCTTGGAATGGACCGTTCTTTTCTTCAAATTTTATATTCTTAGATTAATAATACTTTTTAAATATTGGTTATTCTAAATAATATAAGACATGTGACGTTATTTTCTGCAATATTTCAATACAATTTAACACGAATTTAATCCGGTTAATCATTTCTTAATTTTTGTTATCAATATTATACTTTAAATAATTCAAATTTTCATCTTTATAACAGAGATAATTTATAATTAATAGGTTTTGGCTATAAAAATACATTCTCATTCATTTCGGGATTTTAGCGTTTTTAGTTTATATATATTATATTATTTAATATAATATGGTTTTATATATTTTCACATCTATACGCACTTTACTTTTAATACTAATGAGCGTTTCTTTAATACATAAAAAAGACATTTAAAAAGAGTTATTGTAGTAAGTGAATCATAATGATTGTGTAAAAATTATTTGGAATAATAAATATAAACAATTTAAAATAACCAACAACAACTGATATAATAACTTGTCTTTGTTATTATTTGAATACATGAGACTAGTTTCGGACAAATGTAGCCATCTGCAGCGAAATAATCGAATGTATAAAACACCTATGCGGCTATTCGGCACCTTTGAGAGGAAAATACTGCGCCATATATACAGGGAAGTGTTGGAAATAAAATGTGGCACAGAAAATTAAAAAACAGTTTAATTATATAATAAAAATTAATAAGATAAATTAAACAGATAAGTAAAAAAATAATAACAGAATCAAAAATGTAGTACTTGCTTTAAAAATTGATAACCAAAACAAAAAAAGATCTAAATGGTCCAATTGAGTAGGGCAATAACAAATACAGTTATTTAATTCATATCAGAACATTTCCCAGATTCAAACTCAATGTATCAAAAATTAACAGTAAATCTATACCCTTTAATTTTAAACATTATCGATTTTTATTAGCTTATATTACCGATATTAATACTCCAAATAATTTAATTACACATTCTGATTCACTCTAAACATTAAAAAAAAAGAGGAATAATTAATCACATTTCGGTTACATAGAAGCCTTTTTAATCGCTTTTTAAAATCATGAGATGCGAGTAGATTTGTATGGTTTTATAAGATAGATATTATTATCAGGTAACAGGATTATTATTTAAAATAATTAATCATAACGCATAATTAATAAAAAAGTTTTCGAAAAACTTTCGGTATTTCTATTAAATATTTGTTTATTAAATTGATATTTAGCGCTTAATATGTGTGAGAAAAAGATAAAATAGCTGTAATATTTAGTGTTTCATCATCAACCTTCCAAAATCACATAGCTTGTTTAATTAATAATTAATCAATTTTAAGCACTTCAGTATTTTAATTTAATGAATAAAAAAGTGATATATAAATATATAAAAATATTTACCTGAAATATACAAAAAGTAATAAAAAATTGCGGATTTTTACAAATTCCATTTTAAATATTTAAATGTTCCCGCGTTAAAGTAATCTTTTCAAATTCGCCCTCAAGAATCAACCTTTTTTTAATTTCCGCAGACAATTTAACTCGCAATTCTTCGATTTGCGTTTGATGCATTAAATGATGTTGGGCGATCATTTCATTTTGTTTTTCCACTAATCGTTCTAAAACCTCAACTTTTTGGGCTAACTCGATGTATTGTGTGAAACTTATCGTCGTCTCTCCATTATTCGCAACATTATTTGGTGGTAATTCCGTTAACTTACCGATTACTTCCGATTTCTTATAATTTACGTTATGATTTAAATTGTTACTTAAATTAGAATCTGTGTGGGAAGATGCCTCATTTGATTTTAGTCTTGGGATCGATGGTTTTATTGCGTGATGATGGTGATGATGATGATCTTTTTGATGATGATCAGATTTTTCAATTTCTATTTTTTCTAATGGCGATTTTATTCTTTTTGAACTCAATGCGGGCATTGATTTCGACATATCTTGAGGACTTTCTCTTTCTGGTACCACTTTAACGTCCTCCATTTCAATGTTTTTTCTAATTTCTGGTCCGGGAGAAGTAGATGATCTTTTCGCTTGGTTTATCTTCATTTCTTCTAACCACGGCGCTTTGTGTCGCTCCCATTCCCTCACTTGAGGTTTAATTTCGTGTGTTTCATGGGGGATATCATCATCATTCAAAATTTCCTTGTTTTCCTCCTCTTTATTTGTGTTCGTTGGAGGTCGTCTCGATGGTGGTTTCGCCCTTCCAGCTCGAACATCTTTTAAAAGAGAATTCCTTTCAACTTGATCAAACGCATTTTGATTCTCATCCTCCCGTTTTGCTTTGTTACTATTTTTACTCATCTCCAATTTATTTTTGCTGCCTACCCCACCATCTACAACATCTTTTTTATTATCGATTCCTTCCAATGTTTTTCTAAGGGCTTGAAATATATTTCCACCTCCAGAACTTGGACTTTTCTTAATGGGAACATTGGGTTTCTTAGCTGGAACTGGGGGATGTTTATTGGAAATATCACTCGCTTTTGAATCTATCGAAGATCTTTGGGATATTGGTTTTGTAGAATCTGGCGAAATCCATGGCTTTGAGATGACTTCTTTCTCTTTTTCATCTGATGGCATTGTTGAAGTTGTCGACGTTGTTGGGATAATAACCACGAAATTATCGGGGAAAACACCAACTCGGCCATTTAGCTCGCCTCTCCACCAACCAGCATCAACACCATCTTTTGAAATTAACGTGATCAAGTCTCCTTCTTTTAACGTTAATTCGTCATCGTTTTGAGCTTTATAGGTGTATTTGACTTCGCATAGTGTTTTCACTGCAATTAAACCATTTTTTATTAATCTTATTATTTCTCTTAATTGGAACCAAAACATAAGAGTTTTGGTTTGTTATTTTAAAGTATTCATAAGGAAATCATAAAAAAAGTTCAACATTTCCAAAATTCATAGGAATAGTTCTTACTCAATTATGTCATAACAAAGTATTGCACTCAACTGATCGATTATCACCGAATTGTTAAATTACATACAGTGTGTTATTTAATTATCCTACCCGACGTCATCATTGCAAGTATGCAACCAATATCACAGTATTGCTATTGCAAAGATATAATAAGATAATTAATTAACACAGTGTACTTGAGGTTTGTGAGTCTAGTACTCATTTATGAACCTCCTAGGTTTAGAATTAAATTGTTTTAAAACTCCAAGCAATGTCTATTAGATGAGATAATAATACATTGATGAGAAGGTACTTAAGTTGAACGCTACGATATCGCATCTAATTACTTTTTATGTAATCATGTATGATCACCTAAGTAACAAAATGAGTCTGGAACCATTCTTTAATCAAACCCAATTTTAACAATACTGCAGGGAAGATGGCCTTTTTTTTTTTGGTTTACAAAAAAAGGAGTGGTGGGGACAGAAAAGACACAAGATGATGGAGGAGAATATTGAAGGTGTTTTGGGGTTAAACAAGGAGACACCAGGCTATAGATTATAAGAGTTGAAGCTGGAGAAGATGAAAGCGGAAATAAGTAGAGGGTGATAAAGTTTAAGGATAAGTTGGAGCAGAAGAGCAGTTTGAAGGGAATATTATTGAGGAGAGTATGGACAACAAGAAAGAAGGGTATATTATATCTGAGCAAGGTACTCAATAGAGGATATACAAAAAATGAGGAGGGAAGGGTCAACATTGTGGGAAGAGTTGGACAGTAGATATAAATATGTGGAAAAACAAGAACAGCGTGTTTAGGTTGAAGAGGTATGATTGCGCGATTTCGATGCAGGAATGAAGACAAGGCGAATAAGTATTGGGTGTGTAAATGGGAGAGCATAGATGGTGGAGGTGACGAGGGAGAGGAGGAAGAGGGGGCAGTAGTGTGTAAGTTGTATATTATGTACTGTATACTGAATGTGACAATAAAGGATAGTTTATAATCAATACTTAATTAGGTCAAGCTGTAAACTTAGTTTCGAACGCAGTTTTAACATGTCGCACAACGACATTATGTTGTATATTTTCGACGTCCTCTTCGAAACACAACCATGAAATGTATTATACATTAATTAGTAGCCATATGAATCATACAATGAGGAAGTATTAGATAAAATTCATAATAAATGTTTTATTGCAGAAGTAGAAGCTACTCCCTTCCAGATTCTGACGCTCATTAGTTGTTGTGTGTCTTCCCATTGTTTTCATAACCTCCCTCTTGGTCTCTTGCTTTGCATTCAAATAATACATTAATTTAAAGAATACAAATTGTCAAAGAGTATAACTTAAATATGAGCAAAATCGATCTGACAGATATGTGCTGGCGAAACAAAGTTGAACTTGATCAGAAACTAAAGGAATTTGATGGAACTTCTAACAAATATTAGTTCCATGGGTTGGGTTGCTCCGTCTTTAAAGATTCATTTGTCTGGATAAGCTCGGGCAAAGAATATAAAGTATATTTGGAAAATTTCCTTAATAATCAAATGATGGTATTTTGGGTAGTGCTAAAATTATTTTAACCACAAAATAAATCTAAAAATTAATTAAAACATCAGTTACAAAAGAATTAAATAATTCAAATTAAATAAAATAATTTCTTAAAAATTTAATTTATAAACTATCTATTTATTTATTTTTAATAGAGATGAGTTTTGTTAACCTTAATATTAACAAAACACACTTTATTCTCTCTATCTTTTTTTATCTTATCTCAAACAAATATTAATTCCTAAACTTATAATCCAAAATATCAACAAATTTATATATTCTTATGGTTGACTCACCTGGTTTGGGAGGTAACGAAGGAGATTTAGCCTCTACTTCTCCGGCGGTTGATCCAATATTTTTTTCTGGATTACCCATCGTAGGTATTTTGATTGGTTGTGATATCTCTTCGACGAAATTTGAGGGAAACACACCCTCTTTTCCATATAGAACTCCTCTCCACCAACCTTCTTCTTCCTCGCCCAAAACATCAATTACATCTCCCACTTTCAAATTTAACTCGTCCTCATGATCTTGACTGTAACTAAAGACAACTCGACATTGCCGACTGCCAGATTCTTTTTTGTGATGACGTAAAATAACGTTGTCTTTTGAATCTTTTAATGTGGAGACACAACTTTTTGGGAAAAGACCGTTTTTGTTGTTTATAGTACCTTTATACCATTCCGGGGACCATTGTATCACATCTTTAACTATATCCCCTTTTTTTAAGGTTAACTCGTTAGGTAGTTGACCTATATAGTCATTTTCAACAAGCATTTCACCTACAATAATTGATTAACATTTAAAATCGTGTAGAATTTAGTTACAAATATATTTCTTACCCATTTTTTATCTTATTGTATTCTTCTTCCCGAATTTTAATTAAAAAAAATATGTAAAGATTATTTTTATTGTTTGATTAAGACGATTCTTTTTTGACCATTATTAACATAAAAAGGGGAAATTTTCTTTGTTAATAAAAGAAAAGTTACGGTGATTTTTATCGTGGAAAAACCTTAAACATTTCACAGCGAAATAAACCAACCTTTATTACTACGTACACCTATTACCAACTGAACGTCTCTGAAATGATAAAAATCACTAGGTTTGTTGACATTTCGCTTTTTACCGGGTGACGTAACCTGTCATCATAATAACGGTTTCTTGGAAACGTTCTGCGACGAGTTTATGGGTTTGTTAATCGATGTGAGTCATTTTATAAAATCATCTTTTAGTTTCAGCAAATAATTAAAGAATCGAATTGCGGCTTTATTCTCTTTCGTTATTGTTTGTTTAATAGAGGAGATATCAAAGCTTTCCTTCATATAGTTTATGTTTACTTTCAGATAAAAATTACATTTTGAACAGTTTATTACACGATTTGTTATATTTAAAAGGAGTGTTTATCAACAAAGTGAGATATAAATTGAAGGATATTATACATTTTTATAATCACAATAAATATACTGAATTTATAATTTCGCATTAGCGCCATCTTTTGATGGTTACCTGTTTCAAATGACAATATTTAAAAGAATACAAACTTGTTTATAGATACACATATTTAGGTTGTTGTTGACAGACAATAATAAGAATTCTATTAAATATTAATATTTGTGAAATGCTGTATACACAATACAGATAACTAAAAGCCTGTTTAACTGTACGACGAAATCCAAAACTTTGTAGATCTAGTCTTAGTGTAGTTTTAGTTCAATATAGTACATTAATAACAATAAAAGTACAATATTTTATGATATTATAAAGTTTAATTCTTAAATCATTAAAATAATTATTCAGATCATATTTTCCAGATACACTTTAACTTACAAAGTTTAAAACCTAAAGATCATTATTTGATATGAAACGATTTCCTTCGGAATGTTTCCCTGTGTATTTATATTTACATTTACTGTACATTCCTTTATGGTCGTTTGGACTTCTAATGGTTCTGGGCAAAGGTGTATAATTAGAAATAATCGGGCTCAAATTGTCTCCACCCAATTCGTTTTGTTTCGGTTTAACAATTTTCATAAACTTTCCCCTTCTCGAAGCTTCGATTCGCTCCGAATCATCTACTTTGCTTGAATCTAAAAACTTTAATTTTGGTAGATGATACAGAACGTGATATCTAAAAAGATGAATAAAAAATTGAAATTTTTATGATTCATTTATTAATTGACCTGTATCTTTGATAATCCTCTTCATCGTTCGATATATCCGAAAGCTGGTTTGGGCAAGCTTTATTTCCTAAAAGGCTTAAATAATTTATTGCAGGAAGATTGTGTCTTATTTTAATTAATAATCCTTCGATATCAGTGATCTACATCAAAAAAGTAAAACTTATTACGAGTTAATATTTATTTTTATAATAATTACTTTATTTTTATTGATGGAAAGAGTTTGTAAATACGGCATATACGGTAAAATTATGTTGTCGGTTAGTTGATTATTATCCAGAATCAACTCTCTAAGGAGAGGAAATCCTTCCAAACCACGCAATGTTACTAATTCGTTGAAACTTAGGTCCAATGTGTACACTTTTGCTCCGTACAACTTCACCAAAGTTTCTGGAATTTTATGACATTTTTGACCACTGTAACATAACTAAAAACATGAAAATTAAAAACTTAAATAATTAAATCTAAAAATAAATTATTTTTGCCCCAAACGAGAGATTTATACAGAAATATATTTAGTCCATTATCGAAGACAATGTCGATCTTGGATATGTACCTCAACATAGAAGAAGGTCAGATACATCCTGAATTCGAATGATCAGACACACTGTTTCTAATCGAGTCTTAACAGAAGAAGGATAGAGAAAAATAGCGATCGAAATGCAGGAAGCAAATGTATTTGAGACATCGAGATTATTTTGGGCAAATTGAATTGTGCCAACAACTTCCTTGATATTATTCGTATGTAATAGTATTAGTATCATGCCTCAAAGCCGAGGTCGCTTGCGGCCGAGGTAGTATTCGTTTAATCAATATTTGGTTGCGATTACAACCTGAAAAATTGTGTATATACACATCTATGATATCATTCGTGTCAAATAAGCTGAAATCTCATGCCGCGAGGCATCACTCCCTATTTCAAAGCCGAGGTTGCTTGCCGCTGAGGCAGTATTTATATTCAATATTTCTTTTCAATAATACGCACAATATTTGAACGCACGAATAATTGTACAGCATATAGATTTAAGAATATAATTTTACATTCTTAATGTTATAGATAAGAATATTTAAAACTCAATAATCTTTACCCTTTCCTCGGAATTTCCATTCGTTACCTCCATTTTATAACTTAACAAACTTTGTTGTCTACGTAAAATTGAATTATTGTCACCAACTTCACTCACGACATTTATCGAATAACTCCTTCGCAGGAGAACTGTCTGTCTTCGATGACCCGACATTTTAAAAAAATTGATAACGATTAATTAGTATCAGAAACGGGATTTTATATTTCAAAAAAAAATTTATATCTCAAAGACGTTTATTGAAATTTATCCTTGGATTAATTAGAAGAATTGTAATAACTCGTTGATAATTTTGATATCGTTCGAGATTAATAACAATAACAACTTCACTTGGTAACAAGGTTTTTATTGTAAATAAATTTTTTTTTGTGAATTATTTTTCTTTACGACTTTATGAAGAAGTTCACCGAACGACACTGACCCTTTACATTGCATTCAGTGCTGGTATTGACTTTACTCGTCTTTATAATCTAATTAAAAGAATTCTACAATTTTTATCTTTTGTTATTTAGTCATAGAAAATTTTATTTTCCAATATTATTTCCTTTAGTTGTTTTATATGCACTTACCCTTGTATCCAAATAATTAATTCCTTCACGTATCATCGTAGCGTCAACAATTTCCTTCACATTTTAGAAATTCACTTTATATTTACTCCGTCTATATCACTACTGCTATTATTACTATAAATTTGTAATAGATATGATGAAATCGATCTGTATTGAAAAAAAAGTTGTTATTAAATTTCAAAATAAAACAAAAAAGTTTTAATGGAGTTTTAAACAAAAACGGAAATGATGGATTGGATCGTTTTTAGTTAATGAAACTAATGAAAGGCGTTTAAGTAATTTAATAACATTTCTTCGTAAATCTTCCTATCCGATAAATATTATCAGTAAACGGGTATGAATAAACATTGTTCTAATTTGAGTTAAGATAAACACAAGGTTTATTTTTACAGTTTGTTAAGTAATAACATCGTTACTTGGTACGTATGGTTCATAATTATTGAGTCAATTAATTATTATAATTAATAATTTAAACTAACAGGATTGCTTATAACGAAACGGCTAAGGAATGGTAACCTCTACAGAAGAGTAAACATTCACAAAAACGTGGATCTCCCCAGGTGGAGTAGCCACCAATCAGATCGATCACATCCTGCTCGATAAAAGTATAATGGATGTGAGGAGCAGGAGGGAGATGTCATGCGTATCAAACCATCTCTTGGTACAGATCAAGTTTAGATGCAGAATTAACACACAAAAATTAGAAAAAAGGAAAATGTCAAACAAAACTAAATTTGGAAAGATTAAAGGAGCCCGAGATACCAGAGATCAACGAAAATGAAGTAGAAGAACACTGGAACAAAATAAAATTACATGCTACATAGAAAATATGTGCACCAAAGAACAAGAGAAAGGAAAGAAGAATTCGAAGAGGCGGGGAAAAAGCTAATAAGATATGTGGAAGAAAGAAACGACAATATTTGAACCATCAGGTAGAAGAGATGGAAAGAAATTTTAAAAAACCCCACATCACATTGATGAGAGACAAAACTGGAAGTATAATCGTAGATATGGAAAACACCAAACAAGCATGGCAAGAATATTTCCAACAACTTCTCGGAAACCCAGATAACCCAGAAGAAATTCCCCACCAACAAGAACAAGAGCAACAACAACCAGAACAACAGCAACAACAGGCGAACCGTCCTCTGATAGAACTACCTACATTATAGGAAGTCGAGCCAGTCCAAAAGAACAATAAATCATCTGGATTTGATGGAATAGCTATAGAACTATATAAAACAGCCTATATAGAACTCTTAGCATCTTAATATGTAGTTAACATATGGAACGAAGAAAAGATCCCCAGGACCGAAAAACGAGTGTTATCATCTCAGTTCACAAAAAATGAGACAAACTAACATGCAAAAACTATCGCGGAATCTCCCTAGTGTGTACACGAATACAGATATACACGGAGGACATCATTGGTGATTATCAAGCAGGTTTCAGGTGAGGCAGATCCACTATTGACCAGCTATTTATCGTCGTCATGGGCATTCGGCAAGTCTATGACTCTATAAAAAGAGATAGGATATATGACATTATAAACCAAAACCCGGTATCTTAATTCTTTTAACAATTATGAGGGGTTAACTACCAAATGGGAAAATAAAATGTTTTCATGTCTTTTTGCTCAGAGTCCGCTACGTGTGACTGTATAAGCGCGAGTAGTGGAAGGTTAAAAATATATTTTAAACTTAGCGGCGTCATCTGTTTTTCAACGGCACAATCATAATTAGTTACGTTTTGTTTGCAAGATTAAAATTAATTTCATCAAATCCACTAGATGGCGATATACAATGTTGGTGCTTTATTTTGTTTTTTTAAAAATAATTTTTTAGGGAAACAATTTTTTAATCTTTTTAGTAAATTATTATTTTCATTCTAAAACCTATATCATTACTAAATCAAGTTGTGTGGTCTCCAAAGACGACAGACACACGTTCGATTTAGGCCGGCGACAAAAAAAATCCACAAAAAAAATCGCACTATAATGAAATGTCTATTTCCGGTGTGCCATTTCGTCATTGGAACCGCAGGCCAAAATAACACGAATTTTCTTCTTCACATCGCGTTCGTGTTCCTCTTCGTTTTAATCTTCTCCTGCGTTGTCTCGTCGTTTTCTTGGATGGAGAGGATCCCTCAATCAAAAACTCATTTTAGGGGCGGTATGGCACGAGATTGTAAGTTTTCGTGTAACCGCAGATGCGAAAATAATCGCGCTCGGCTACCGAATGGAAAAGTCAAACAAAAAATTTAATAAAAATTTATTATTACAATAATTTTTAAATTCGATAACAATTTTTTTTAAATGCTCTTCTTTTTTTTATAATTTTATTGTTTTGGTTTAAAAAGTCGTGGTTTTTTGATCCAACTTCCCGATCGTGAAGTTGAAGGTGATGTATCCCCCGAAGATGATCCTCTTGAATCGTTCGGAACTGTTAAACTATCTTTTCTTAATTGACCAGCGGCTTCTTCGGCAGTTAAAGTTTCTTGACTACCCAAACTTGGATTGATATCAACGACTAAACTTTGTCGGCATAAAGTTGAAATTGTATTCATTTTATTTCCTTTGGTATCTTTGGTTCTTCTCATTTTTACTTTTCTAAATTTTGATGCTAAATTTGACATGAGACCTTCTTTTCTTTTTTTCGTATCTCTTGGTAAAGAAACATAACCCCCACCGTGAATTTCAGGATTAATTTGGCGATAAGTTTCCGGATCAACACTAATCATTCCAACGGAAGCTGATTTAATTAATAATCCTTCGATTACTTCTGAACTTGATTCACTTTCAACACTAATTTGACTTAATCGATTTCTTTCGGGATATTTTATTTCTTGTTCCGGGTTATCTTGAAGTACAGGAGCCGACATTGGACATAAGGGGGCATTAAAAAAGTCTTCTTTCGCTTTTTGCAATTTATAACTTCGACTATCTTTAGAAATTATTTGATTGCTTTTAGTTGTATCTAAATTTAATTTTAATAAATTCGGTTTATTATCGTTTGGAGATAAAGCGCACGCGCTTACTGATTTTAAAATGTTTTTTGTTGTATCTTTTGATTGAAGGTCTCTTTGGATATTAAAAACGCTAACACTCGCTGATTTTTGTACAAAATCGCCTTTATTTTTTATTAAAGGCGATGATAGTCGTATTAATTCTTGTTGATAACGTTCAGTTTGATTTTTAACTCTTCTCTCTGTAACTGGTGATCTCCAAATTGGTGATGACGATCCACTGCTTAAAGATTTTGTTAAATTTGATGATTCGTGTTCGTGAATTTTTTGATTATATCTCGCTAACATTAATTTAATATTTGGTGAAATTTCTTTGCTGATTTTTCTTTGGGTTGTCGGTGATGGTAAAATTGGAGGTTTTGAAGAAATTTGAGACTCATCTATTTTTTCTTGCACACTTTGGGGGCTCACATTTTCCCCAGCGAATGAACTAGTTACTAAAGGTGTAAATAATTTGCGTGTTGTTTTAACAAAAACTTGAACCGGAGTTGTTGAACCTTTTTCTTTCTCGTCGTTTTGATCACTCTCAACATTTACGTAATTTGTGTGTGTTGGAACGGCAACTTTTTGAATTACGTCCAAATCTAATTTAATGCCATCAATTTCGCGATTTTTTTTATTATTTCTTTTTTGTTCAATCACTTCATCATCACTTCCATCAAGAGTTTTCGTTGAATAACCACGCTGTTTGTACCTATAACGTTTCTTAATAGCACCTTGAGCTATTTGTGCGCTTAAATCTTGATCGCTGTCATCAACAGTTTCTTTTAATAATTTTTTATCTTTTAATGATAATTTACGTAAAAAACCTTTTGAACTTCTTTGAAACTTTTTCTTTCTTCCTGGAGCTGTAGAATCTAAAATAAAGTGAAAGAAAAATAAAAAAACACAGACAAATATTTACCTGAAGCTGCACATAAATAACTTAAAACTCGTCTAAGTTCCAAAATTTTTCCATTCGAACTTTTCAACATTAAAAGAATATTGGGATAATTTTTATTTGAATCGGTTGGGTCATAAACAGCGTTTCTGTTCATAAAATCTGTGTGTAAATTTTCCGCTAAATGTAACACGTCAACCGAAAGATCTTGTACGGAATCTAAAGTTTCGTTCATTTGATGTCCTTGAGATAAATCACCGTCTTGCGTTGTTGACGATGATATACTCGAGGTCACCTTGTTGTTGGCTTCTTGTAATCTTACGAGTTTTTCAATCAATCTTCCGGAAGTTTCTGATTGAAGAACGTAAAGACTTTTTAATGTTTCGATTTGTAGGGGATCGTCTGATTCTAACTCAAGTTGATTTTCACGAAATCTAAAAATAATTTATTAATAACATTTCAAATTAAAATGTTATATTACTAAAATAAGACCTTATGTCATCCTCGTTTTCACTTAAGAGTTTTAACAGATCGATTGCGTCTTCGATTAAATTATAATTATTTTGGGCTCTATTTGATTCACTTCTTCGTACTTTTGGTGCTATTTTGGATGCTCCTTCACTAAATAAAATTACAGAATTTATTATAATTCATAACCTAGAAAAGGAAAGTTACTTTAATTTTTTATTTTTAAAACATACCACATCAAAGGTTTTTCTTGATGTTGATAAACCGGGATTTGCTTCTTATCCATAAAAAATTCCAACGGGCTGGCAGTTTCTTCGATAATATCCTCAACTTCAACGATAACAGCCCCCGGTTCGTCCGTTTCATCCAAATGATTCGATCTTATATCAGGTACTGATGAGACGTTATTTAGAAGACATTCTTTTTCTAAATTTTCAACGTCGTTTAAAGATAAACTCGAAGGTTGTTGACTTAGAAGTGGATGAGTTAAATTTAATTCAGAGTTCATTACGCTGTCCGCCGATTTGCATTTAATTAAACGAGGTGGTGGTGCATCTGCATTGGAAAAAGATTATTAAAAGGAATATATATTATTTGAAATATTTTTTACGTTTATTAGATAAATTAATTGTTGGTACGTATGCGTTACTTAATAACGCAAATGTTGAAGCTTCCGGTCCAATTCCTTGGGCTTTCTCCCATTCGTAAAGTTTTTGGGTAAATTTTCTCGAAATTCCTTCAAATCGATAAAAACCACACGGAGTTTGAACCAGAATATTTTGTTTATTATTAGGTCCCATAACAGATCGACGAAGTTTACTTAATCTTTCTTCACGTTCCCAAAATTTTTGTCGTTCTCTTTCCAATCTTTGTTGTTCCCGTTCAATTTTAGTTAACTCCTTTTCAACCCATTGTAAACCTTTGTCAGTTTGTTCTTTAATCTTTTTACTTTGCCGTCCAGATCCTCCATCTTTCCTCATTAATTTAGGACTGGGTGTTTTATTTTCTTTCAAATCATCTTCGTTTGAATAACTATTTGATTTTATTTGTTTCCAGGTTTCTAATTTTTTCATAAAATCTTCCGAGAGATGTTGTGTTTCGAGTGGACCAAGTTCTGGCGGTCTTTGACCACTCACTGATTTCCATTTTGGCCAGTCTCCAAGTTTTTTCTTTGGACTACCAGAAATGACTGAAGAAGTATCACCTTTTTTAATTTTTTGCCATTCTTGTAATTTTTTTCGAAATTCCAACGGGAGATGTTCTTCACTTTGCAATTGAATGCCGCTATGTTTTGATTGCCCTTTAATTTTTTCCCATTCCTCCATTTTTTTCTTAAAAGCTTGTTCCTTTTGTTCTTCTAACGATAACGTTGCTGAAGTGTTATTTGGTGAATTCGAACAACTTTGTTGTTGCTGATGCTGATGTTGTTTTGATTTTTCCCATTCGTTCATTTTATCCTGGAATTCCAAACTTAGTTTTGTTTGTAATTCCCGATAATTGTTTTGGATTTCCTCTTGGATTTTGCTTAAATTTTCAAGTTTTGGAGTCGTTTGCTCTGGAAACAAATTTTTTTTGAAACGTTTATTTTTTTAATGATATTTTTAGCGGGTTGTTTTACTTTTAGAAGGTCACATAGGACATATTTTTAGACGGTTACAATAAAATCTATACTTATTTTTACCTACATAACAACTTAATCCGAGATATTTGTCTGCATGTATTAGCAGGATTAAATAACTAGGTCAAGATTTTGAGTAAATGTATTTCAGGGAGATAATTAAATAATAAAAATTATTTACCAATTTGATGTTGATCATCGTGAGTTTGAACTTCAACGAAAGGAAAATGTTCGACTTCAAAACCTGGGGTGTTTAACGATTTGGGACTTGGAAGTGGACTTTTTGAATCTTTTGATTCAAACACATCTTCGTCGCTAAGCATCGCATCTTCTAATCTGGAATCGTCGCTTTTAACGCTTAGACGTTTTCTTTTTTTCAAGCTATTTCTTGGTTGGATGATGTCTTTCATTCTGGCCCACGTCGTTCGGTGAAGATTTTTTCCGGGTGTTGGAGACTTGGATTGGTCGTCCTAATGAGGACGAAAAAAATTAAGTAGTAAACGAATCTAGAAGTGGAGTTAAGTTTTCAGTTTTTGAAAGGGAAACAGTGAGCGTTCTATTTTTAGTTTGTTGGGTCCAGAAATAAAGTGGCATTCATAATATATGCGTTTACGTCTTCCGTTACTAGGCTAAGTAACACATGGATATTTTAAACATTCTTTTCGTTTTTATATTCGTTGATTAAAATAATTACCTTTAAATTTGGAATGTAATCTAACGTAAAAGATTGGTCATCATCTGAAGTATCATCTCTTGGATCGCGACGCCCTAAAACGAAAACAAATGTTTAGCAAGATTTTTTTGAGTTTTAAAATTTGTGATAGGTAACAAGAAGAGTGGTGCGGGTGTATTTTTAAAGTCCATCGTATTCCCGCTAAAATTAGCACCGGGCCAGCGGCAACTAGCTGTCTCAAATGCTTTCCTGCTGAGGTTCCTGCTTGGCACCGAAGAATGAACCGATTCGGGCGCTGATTTAACGTCCAGGAAGCTCTATTTCTATTCCAAATGGAATTCGCCAAAACGTACAAACATCTCACTCTCTTGGTGACCCATAAAGAGTTTCAATTTAAATTTGGTAATGGACCTTTGATAATGAACTAAAAATTCCAAACTAAAAATTACTTTAAATAAATTATTATGCATACTCTTTTACATAGTAATACTTTTTAATTTTAATTTTGAATAACACACTAAACGTGCCTTTTGTAATCGCACTTGGAAAATTATTAATAACCTCAACCGTTTTCGTTCCGCGATTTTATACGATAATTATAGACGTGTTTTCGTCTTTGAAGCTAGTATCTGGAATTCGACAGCAGCACGTTTAAAACGCAATTAAACCTTTTCTACATTTAAAATTAACCTCTATTTATAACTGTACTTTATTATTCATCTACACTTTGTTATTCTTTTTTGGGCATAATGCATAACTAAGTGTAATAGATTAGAGTTGAAAAATAAATAAGTGAAAAGTAAACATCATCAACTAAACAGTATGTTTGAGAATTAGTCTTGCGTTTATTACACTGTACTTAGATTTAGAGTGAGATTAAGGCTACAATTTCTCTGTCAGTCATCGAATCTAATATTCAGGAAGTAGTGAAGTATAGTTAATGTGATATGGTTATGTCATGGATCGGCTAACGAATCAAATCATAGAAAACTATATAAATCGTGACGTTGACGTTTATTACCTAGACATTGTTTGTCTAGCTCAGGCATAAAATTGGAGGTAATGTACTAATTGCCAAAATTAATTTTATTATGTATGGCAATGTTGAAGGAACATGAAGGATGTTGATAGATGATGGGGAAGGTGTTGAGGCCAGGACAGAATTAATAGACCTAAAAAAGACAACATTCCAAAATCCCAATCTAATTCTTTCAAGATTTTGCAAAGCATATGCTCACTAATTAGTTAATGTAACTTAATTTCTGACCAAGTAACACGCTTTCATTACGTCTATGCTATATTCCTCAATTTCTCCGAGAATCGAGATCAACCTCATCATACTCCTACAATTACATTCAAAAATAGTAATAATTGTGTAAATAATATTGATAATAATGTCCATTCATATCTGAGGTTAATATAATTGCAATATTTAATGAAATACAGTGTCATAAATAAATTTTACCCGGACAAAAAACATCTTCTGTAGAAGATGCCGAAGATATAGTTCCCGGTGTTGAAATTTCCGCAGCTCCCGAATCACACGGACTAATTCCCGGATCTTCAGATGTTGACGGTACCCTTAAATACCTGGTAACCTCAAAATTAACAGGTTGCATCCCTCCGATCCCGCTATCCTGCGATTTCACATCGCTAACCGTTTGGCTGGCTTTTTCCCACTTGAAAGCGGCTTTGACCCTGGTCCATTTCGAAATTTTCTTATCCGGTCCACTTAAAGCTGAGGATCTTCTATAAGAAGCCCTCAATCGATCCATATCGATGTTTTTCTCCAAAGTAACCGAGTTACTTCGGTTTCTCTGACGACGCAATAAGGATTGTCTAAATCGAAATTGGTTTTGATGGTGGTGGGATTTTGGCAGTTTCGGATCTCTTTTGGTATCGCTTAAGATTGTGTCTAAAAGGTTTTCTGCGAAAGCCGTATCGACTTCGTTAAATTCGTTTTCTTCCAGGTATTTCTGCATGTTTTGAAGGTTTCTTAAATGTTCTAAATCGCGCACTCTCCGGTAAAGTTTTGCATTTTGATCTCTTAACAATATCATTTGTTCCATTAATTTATATAACTTTTCTAGGTGATCGAAAGCGTCTTCGGTTGCAATCGCTGGAGTAAAAATCGAATTCACCCTCATCAAGTTTTGCGCGTTCGGATTAATCTTTTGCAATGTTTCTAAATATTCCAAAACATCTTGACTTTTCTTGTAATCCCCTTCGTGTTCTTGATGTGGATCGGGTGGTGGCGTTGGTAATTTGATTTTGCTGTATTTTCGCTTTGATTTTTTGTGGTGGTGTTGACCCACGTGTTCCATGGATGAAGATTTACTCATGGAGCATGAGGGCGTGGTGGACGTTTCTGGATTTTTACTCATTTTTTGAAGTGGTTACTTTTTCACATTTTCTACACAAACTTTATCAAGTTCACCAACATTTCCTTTGTTTACAATTATTTTTGATGTATTTCTTAAACATAAATCGCCACGTAACCGATCTTAATAGTTCTTTTGAGACACCAGCAACTTGGATGCTGCGGTGGGAGGCGTCGGGACGCTACTGGCATCGCGATGCTCACCAACGTCTCGATCGTACCGATATAGAAACGACGAGTAGTACTCAACATTTTTGCAGAAATACTACTACGCTACTACTAAAGGATAATATAATACTTCGTCTAAACAATTAACGTTGTATTCGAACACCTTGCTATTCTTCGCCTTTTTTATCTAAAGCCCTATCTCCTCCCTTCTCGGTTGCAGTTTTAAAAATGCGTTAGAACTCTTCGCTTTTTGTTCTCGCCCTTGTTATCAAGATAGACAAGCGGTAATTACAATAGCCTGTCAATTGGATTGAAAGGAGTTGGACGTTTAGAACGCGAATCAAGCGATATCCGTTTTGGTTCTCCATTTATTTTTTTACTAATAACAGTGATCCTTAGTCCAGGTTAAAGCCTCTTTAAGTAATTGATAGCTCCTCGCAGGTGGGCGGAGATCGCATTTTTAAGCGACCCTTTTTCTTGTCTCTTTTAGACCTCTTGAGAAATATGAAATTTGATTTTTGAAGAATTTTTTTATATGAAGTAAGAATTTGTTACAGGAACTTAGATAAATTGGTCGAATTAAAACCTCAAAAGATCTCGAATCTTTTTAGAAAATGAAAACAAAACACCCCGGTCGCGTTTCTTTTATTGTCGATTCGCCACAATTTTTGGCACTTAGCATGAGGTCTTTGAAATTTAACATCGAGATCTTCGAGGGTGGTTCACCACAAGCGGTCAAAAAAACTAATTCATAATCACTCAGGAAGTCAATAATAACACTCCAATAATCAAAATCAATTATATTCTTTAGATTGGTGCTATATGATGCTTTATGATATTTAATTGATTTTTTTGGTAGCAGAAACGGTAGCAGCTTCGAACATCGCGTGTGGTCTATTTTTGTCCTATTTAATTCCGATTTCAAAGAAATGGTGTAGAAGTTTGATAGAAATTAATTTTTTCAAAAATCATTTTTGAATACGATGATTGATTCACGCCGTTTAACTTTTTAACCCTAAAAGGGTAAAACTCATTTGTTTTAGTCGACGTTTAAAATTAACCACTAAACTCGCCCATCCGGGGGTTCATTAGTCCATAGCTACCGATGTTGTTCCAAGCACCCTTAATCAATCAAAAACAAGAAATCTCTTCGATGACCAAAAAAAAAAAACTCAAATCCAACCCCTTTTTATACATTATTCATGTAAAAAGCAAGGTTAGACAACTTCATTTTCAATTATTTTTTGCGAAGTTGTGTTATTATCTTAATGTATTTTAAAGTCTTGTTTTCTGATAATGAGTTTAAGAATATTGATTATTTTTGACTTATTTCAAAAAAATGACAATGACGCATTTTGTATCAAACTTTTATCTTAATAATTTTTGTTCAATCAAAATTTAAAAATATAATGACATAATTTATTTTTTAAAATGAACTCTGTTCAAGTTGTTCCACGCGATATCAATAACATAGAAAAAGCAATCCATAAAACTGGTAAAACTAACATAAACATTTATATTTACAAAAATTAATTAATTTTTTTTTCAGGATTTGGTCTTTATTCAAAATTCGCAATAATTTTAACTGGATTATGTAGTTTTTCAGAATCTTTAATCTTAACCACGTTTTTTCTTTCGATACCATTAATGGCTTGCGATTTACCTCTCTCTGAAAATATGATGATTTCAATTGGGGTTGTTTACTCGATCGGAGAATCAGTTGGGAGTTTTGTTTTTTTATCAGTAAGTGATATCTTCGGGAAGAAACCTTTAATTCCAGTTCTTTGCGCTTTAATTTTTGCTAGTACATTAGCAAGTAGTTTTGTTCATAGTTATTTATTCCTAAGTTTTTTTACGTTATTTTTGGGATCATCTCTATCAACGAATACAATCGTAATGAGAGTAAATCTTGCTGAATCATTATCAAAAAGGCGAAGAGGAGTTGTTTTAACGTTATTAGATTTGTGGTGGTCATGTGGTTATATAGTCTCAGTTGGTAAAATAATCTTACAATTTTATTTATTTTTTAATCATTTTTATTATTTAATAGTTGGTGTTTGGTCTTTTACGCCGCTAGCAATAAAATTTTATTCAAAAGACGCAAGATTTTTTACTTGGAGAATAATGATAGCAATTTCGAGTGTTTTAAGTATCATCATAGGATGCATTTCGGGTTTGTTGAAACCAAGCGTTCGATATTTATTGTATTGTAAAAAGAACAGGGACGCTTTAAGTGTTTTAAAAGAGATATACGCAATTAATACTTCGAAAAATTCCGAGGATTTCGATATAAATGAAATTAACCTTAATCAACAAATTACCGATTATGGAATTTATAGGAATATGCCTATGAGGATTTATATGGAACATGCTTGTGCTTTAATGAAAACTGTTTATAGAGGTTTAGAAATTTTAGTTGGAAAACAATTTATTTTTCGACTTTTAACTCTTTCTTATATGAAAACGGTTACTTTTGGAGGGTGAGTTAACGCGAATTTATAAATCTGTATACACTAAGTAGTATTCGAAATTCTAAAATTAAAATCTATCAATCTATACGATCAACACTGTACGTCAGCAAAATCGGTTTATTTGGATTAGCAGCCCTCATCGGGAGGGGACTTCACCGTGCGAGACCTACATTTCGCGCGTGTACGTGCACGTTCCGTGTTTACGTGTTTGCGTTTCGAACAACTTGCGCAAACAAATCGACGATCCCGGAAAAGATAAGTGGTTGTTTTCGAATTGAAAGCGAACGCGCGTGTTTCTTTTTTTCAGCATCTTCATCACGCACTTGTGGATATACAAGGTGATCTCGCAAACCGATGGTTGTCAATTGACTAAAACCGATATGATTTCTTTGGAAAACTTTACTGCAACGGGAGATTGTAATGTTAATTTGAAAAGTGCTGTCTTCAGAGATTTTCTTTTATTGATTCCGAATATTATTTTGGGACAAATATTTGCCATATTTTTAATTGACAGGATTAAAAGAAAATATTTAATTGGTAAAAAGTTTTATTTATATATATTTTCATGGACAAGAAGCTATTACGTATAAATAAACCAAAATGAAGCATGTGGAGCTGCATTCAGGCACTTCAAGATCCGCGCCGATCCTCAGATTAGTCATCTGTGAGTTTCTGACTTTTACTCTTGGATGCAGAAACCTGGTGACGTTGTAATAGTAGTATTTTGGTCCCTGACATACGTGATAGCTCCATGTGCATGAAATATTTTTTGTGGTTTAGATTTTAATCAGAAAACATTACTAAGATTCTTGCCAAAATAACACAATGATGAATAGCAAAATGGCCAAATGCACAAAGCAAACCTGGTGATGACTAATGCACAAGTCTGCGCTATGTTTTTTATATATATTCAGCAAACAAATTATGGGCTATGTTCATTAATTCTTTAGCCACCATAAAATCCTATCCGGTCAACAAATGTGCTGCCTTATGGAGTTTAACCAAGACTTCTTTGACGACCACCATCTGCGACGACATAAAGAGTAGCGTCCCTTTGGTGTTAAATGGGCTAAGTTAAAAAATGCTCTCACTTGCTTCAGTCCAAAGAGTGTTTGGAAGATTGGTGTTAAATCGTTGTCAATCGTACGACTTTTTGATATAGAGGTATAAACAGTTCGTGGTGGTTGGATATTTGGCTAAAATATCTCTCTAAAGTCGATGTTTTAACCAAATGATAATCACTTGTCAGAGTTCCAGTCAGCACCTTTGTAGGTTTTTACATTTATGATACTGTAGGCTCCTTTTTTGTTTACAAGAACATGGTCAATAAAATGTGAAAGTTTTTTGTTTGAAATCTGAACCATCCTAGATATATATAATATATATATTTATTTTGTTATATTTTTAGCTGTTTCTTATATAATATCTGGATCATGTAATCTTGCAATTGGATTTACAAATAATCATTTATTTATTAAAATTGGTTTGGGTTCAATTTATTTAATTTCATCAAGTTTTGGCGACTCAATAATAAATGTAGCTATTATTGAAATGTTTCCGACGGCTTTAAGGTAATCTTAAAATTTTGTTTATTAATAACTTTCTTGATTTATTATAAATAATAGAGGAACTGCAATGGGCGAAATACAATTTATAACAAAAATCGTATTGGCTTTTATAAAGCGATATTTGGACCTACCTTGTAACACATTTATGATTATGGCCGGTGTTTTTATGGAAGGTTAGTAAAATTAGTAAACCTCTGGTTTTATATTAAATTAAAATTGTAAGGCCACGAGGCTGTTGGGCTATCAAAATTTGTGATGTGTATAAAATTCTGGCATAGTAACGGCTCCGGACGCTATTTTTGGCCCAAAACCAAACAGACGCTATATATTATACACTAAAACGTATATGCACGAAAAATAACATTCCCTTGTTTATATACTCAAAAATTTTAAGCGTCCCGATCGAGTCTTACTTGATATAATATTGTTTAATTTTCACAACTTTCTTGTTAAATCTATAAAACATCGATTGTATTTTTGAACGCAATTGAGTGTTTTCAATCAAACTTTCAACATATTACGGTCATAAAAACAACAACAACAACCGTCTCATTTTGAACATGTTTTTCAGTTGCAGCAGTATTAGCGTTTTTCCTGCCGGAGTTCAAAGGGAAACCGATGATGGAATGACATCTGAAATGCATCTTAATCGACGAGGGAAAAACGCGAAAATATCCAATCCAGAAAGACGAAAATAATTTTCATCATGTTTTTCAGTCGACGACCTAGTTTTATTTATAAAAAATGTATTCGTAAACGATTTCTTTTCCTGGTGTAAAAAAAACGAATTCTATTTAAAAAATTATGTTTTATTATTTTAATAAATTAAGAAATATTTTAACAAAGAAATTAATTTAATTTTCTTAAAAATAAATTATAATTAATTTTTTTTATGATCTAGTAATTCATATAAAGCGTTAATGTAACTTTGGGCCATCTGAAGGGTTTCATATTTTGAAAGTTGCTTATCTTGTCCTAATTGCGGTAGAAAAGTTCTTAATCGGTCGAAAGCTTTATTTAAATTCTGCATTCTTCTTCGTTCCCTAGCGTTAGCTGCCAATCTTCTTTTTCTTAAAACCACTGGAGAAACTTTATTATTTTTCGCCCCCAATTCGGTAGAATCGTTTAAATTATCTTCCAAACTATCGTAACTTTTCACACTTGAATTTTCAAATCCTTCCAATGAACTGTTGTTCCAATCCAGAGCGTTGGCTTCAACGTACATGTAATTATAACAACTATAAACTTCTTGTTGGTAATCCATTTTTAAAAATTTAGTTTATGTTTCAAACTAAGGAATGAGTAAAAATCTACCCCGAATTTGATTTTATACAAGATTTTCTCCCCCACTATTTTAAATTGGGTTGATTTTCTGGTGGAGTTGCGCACGAGACCTCCAATGGCACACAAAATGGCATATGGTCGGCCCTCCTCCGTACCATAAGGGCGTCGTCTGTGTTGTCCTTAATCAAAATTTCACTACTTGACAGATGACCAAGAGGACTACGGTGGTAATAAAATGGTGTGTCCGAACCGCAACTTCCGATTCTTGTTTGCCGAGCGAAGAAATCTCCAGGTCAATTAACCTCAAACCCTGTCACTGGACTGATGACCGTCGCAAACTATCAAAATCTTCAAAGGACACCGTCTTCTCTTTTACAGGTACTTTTGTGTGGTTCCAACATTGGCGACACGGTGATGACAAGGCACATTATGCTTCTAAACTAAGAAAATTAACAAATTACCCACTTTGTTTGCGACCCCCACAATTTAAAAAATAATATTTCCGGAAATTGGTAATAAGGTTATTATCTAACTATTTGCTTGAAACAACCATAATAACAACAAATAACAAAATAAAGTTTAAATTTTTAGATAGATTCCTATGACAGAAGGCGCGCGCACTTCATGACCCAAATCCGGCATCAATTGCTGCTCGAGGGTTGGTCGCGGGGTGGTGCTCGTCTGCCACCTGTGACTCTAACTCCCTCTAGAAAACGGCACGTGCCGCGCAGGTGACGTCGCGCCATAACATGTGCGCTAACTACCGACGAAGAAACCTAATTGGCGAACGATGTACGCGAATCGAAAATTAGTTCAACAAGTTTTAAATAAATTCCGACAAAAACACCAAAAATGTTAAACGAAAATCTAAGTTGAAAAAGAAGAGGGCTTTGATCGATAATTTGGGGAAAGCACGCGAAAAGACTGAAAGCTGCCCATCGTAACGAAATGATAACCGAGAATTAGGCGATCGGTTTTTGGCCGACTTTCTTAATTGCACTCCCACGCGATCTCAATAATTATATATTCAGGAGCAAAACCACCGGTTACAAAACCCGACGAAAAGGAGTAATAAAAAGTAAGAGATCGTGCGATACTGTTTAAATTTAAAGTTATTTCTGATTTATTTATGCATATTTAATACCGTCTTAACCTAGAACTAGAAGCATTCGGGTTTAGCCGATTCTAGTTCTAGGTCTAGTGTTAGTTCTAGTTTTAGTTCAATAAAAATATGCAATATAATGATATTTTCTGCTAACTATTCTTTGTAGTTGTAGGTTGTCTTAGAAATACTTTTCGTTTTCAGTGTTACATTGCTGCCTAAGTGCACTCTGCCCAACACGATATCTCCCTCTTACTCTGAATCAGGAGTTTGGTTTTGTCTTCGTTGGTTCTTAGTCCAACATCTCTTCCACTGGTTTCGATGTTTTCAAAAGTTTGGATGGACTTGTTCATCAAAGTTGCGTTTGGATGGATTCCTGTTCTTCTCATAACATATTTGGGTAAGGTGTTGAAGGTGTTGAATAATAATAATAATATATCTACGAAGATGTGTCATAATAAATTTGAAACCTAAAACTCTCAAAAATATTCTCTTTATACTCTTTTTATTTTCACAATAGAATTTTTTTCCTCATAAAAATTACCCTAATCTATTACACCTTAAATAGGTAAAACGATTTCCGGCGTTTTATCTATTTTTTCCCTTTTATTTTTTGTCCAAACCAACGTCGTCGATTAATATAATCCTTATATTATGCATCTCGGCTGGTTTTACAGCATATTAAACGTCGGCGCGAGGTCATCTCGGCTCGGTTCGGTCCGCATATGGCCTGCGAGGGTGGTTCTTCTTCTCTGAACAACCCCCTTCCGGACGACATAAAAGCTCCTTTTTATGAAGTTCCGACTCTCGTCTTAGCTTTTTTTTTCCTTAAAGATTTTTTCTCACGTTAAAACACACCAAAAACTTTCACACTTTAAATATTGAAGGGTTGAAAAAAAATCTATAAGTTTTTCTTCATCGTCATCAAACTCACATTTTGTTTAACAAAAAAGATTATATTTTATAACGTCATTTTCGAATGTTTTCGAATCTTTTCGAATCCCAAATTCGTGACGCAATCAATCACCCTTTATTAGAAGGGTCAGTTACACAAAAGAGGGACGGACTTGGTTTCGTTTTTTTTATTCATTTTGAAAGGGCTCCCTACCACACTTTGTTTATTACGTCGTGCGTGTAATTTCAACAATACCCTCGACCACTCGATAACCTCTCGCTAATAAATGTCACGTGTTTGTTTATGAGCGGACATTATTGTAATGGAGAGAGATTTAAGTGCAAACCCAAAGGAGTTCTTAAAACCGTTTCGAAAGCTCTCGAGTCTGCAGTAATGTATTATTAAAAATGCTGGGGATTAAGTATGAGATGTATATCAAAATAAATTCACACGGATCCTTTTTTTTTTTCAATTTTATGTAATGTGAAAATTTTAAAGACACCTTCAAAATTGATCATAATAAGTTAGTACATAATAATAATCAATATAGCGTGATACTGTAACAATAGTTTTGTATCGATCTAAACTGGGTGTTTTTTAAGTGAGATCCCGGGGTTTAATTTTCTTGTTGTTGGATAAGTTAGCGGTCTGTGGGGGTTTTTGTGTTGTTGAGGTTCTCTTTTATGTGAACAAGTGGCCGTGTGAACCGACCGGATATTGGTAAATTTTGAATCGTGATCTTTCACCGAAGCAAAAAGACCGCGGCAAGAACATACGTGGGCGATGAGAAAAAACACACAGAAGGCCATAGGAAGCGCTCAGGATACCGCCCAATCCATCATTTTCACAAGATCTTCGTACCTGTTACAACTTTTTTTTGTATTTTTTTTCTTTAGAGTTTACCCTGTGTTAATTTACGTTAAGCTTTTTTGATGATTAACCCGATAATGTGTGTTTAAACCAGTGGGAAACAAAATCGTTTTATTTTTCAATTGCAAACCATTTTAGAGATAAGTTTTATAACCTTAAAGTTCAATCTGGTTTCATTTATAAATTTCAATCCATTCCAGAGGAAATAATTATGATTAAATTTATAAAATATTTATAAGAAAAACTGTTCATCCCGGAAACTTAAAACTTAATTGTTGTTTACACACAAAGTTAATACTAAAAATAGCCGAAATGGATGGACACATCAAAATCAAGGTCAAAAACTTTCCTTAATTAATAACAATTACCGACAGTAATGGGTAATCATATACGAATTATTTGTGAGTAAAAGAAACGAAACGTCTCGTAACGGTTTATTCTAAAATTTGCATACGACGAGTTAGCTGTCAACTCTGACCATGCCACACAATCAGATAGGATCTTCAGGATGAAACGACGATGGATTTATGGGATGGAGTGCGTGGGCAGGTGGGAAAGATCCAGAAGTGTGTGCACCTTTCGATGAAATAAGCAAATTTTTTACAATGCCATTCCTTAAAATATCCAAATAATAGTTATTTACGTATCCAGTTATAAAAAGACTAATTTTGTGTGACGAACGTAATATTCGTGAGAAATTACGTAAGTTAAACAATTTGTAATTAAAATTAATATTAATTTGTAATTAATAAATGCCAATTTGTAGCTAGGTAATGGAATTCATTACATCACTAGTGATATAATGAAATCATTACATCACTAGTTATAAAAAAAGTGACGTTGCATAACGTTAGAAAAACATGTAAAATTTAATTTTCATAATGGAATTTTTTGTGATAATTTCGAAAGTATCCCATTTATTTGTAAAAAGAGAAAAATGTTAACATATCTTGACATTTTGAGTCAAAAATGGTGGGAAGATTGTATAATTTATAAGAAACGACATTTTAATAGATGTCAACCGTCTACTACGACCCTTTTTTGTAGTTCTAAAAGATACATGGCTTTATTAACATGCAGATCCCTTTCATCGCGACAAAAAAAACGAGTGAAAGGATATGGTAAAAAAAGTTTTACGCAATTTAAATTACAGGGTTAATAAATATAAAGTTGAATAGAAGCCTTTTATGTAACGTATTGTTAAATTGGTTTGTGGTTGCGTAATCAAATGAAAAAAAAAATGTATAGTGACGATATATCATCTTTTAAAAAAGCATTTAATAATTGATATGCTCCGAATAATGATGGTATCTCTATTTTTTTTTTTTGTAAGAAACGATATCATCTTTTATTTATGAATCTCGGCTTTGTGAATCATATTTACATTTGAAACCGCCGCCTACCAAAAACGACCGAAGGCGAAGAGGAGGCGAGGATTTATTTCATTTTAATAACAAGTTAAATGTTACCTGGCGTCAGAGTTCGCTTCCCCTTTGACGACTTTATCATCATCGACCCTTGTTTAGTAATTTGTAATGTATATATTCAATGTTTTTAAAATGGGATTAAAAAAGGTTCTATGAATTATTTACTATTTGTTTTTATAAAAAGATTTTAATCGGATTAAGTCATTACGATGCTTGGTAATTTATTTAATATAAAATCGCCGAAATTACAAGGCTGCTAATTCGATAATTTTTTAAGGTGATCTATTTTTTTGTCTTATATAAAAAAAGTTTCCGAAACGTTTAGAGGTAGGGTTTGTTTACTTTAAAAATTATAATTGCTTTTCGGAACTACCATTTAGCTAAACCTAACCATAGGTCCTGGGCCGTTTAATGACCCGGATTAGTGATTGAACTATTATCGGACGATCGGCGCCTCCTACAGGCACCTTTTTCGTTAAATCTCGCGCAGAAAGCGACGCAGAAAACCGACGAAATTATGTAATTTGGAACCATAGAGAAAATTGCACATTCTAAGATCCTATCTTCAGAAAATTGGCCCCTTCCTTTTTCAATAAAAAAAACATTCCGAAATTCTAAAGAAACTTGTTTTAGAAATCGAAAGGTAACTTTTAAGCTTGTTAGCGTTATAAAAGATTTTACTTGCC